GCTGATGCAACCCCGTAGCAAAACCCGCTCTGGAGGTCGTCCGTCGCCTCAGCCAGGCGGGGTTTCCTCCCCAGGCCTTAACCCCCCCCCTTTCTGTGAATAAAAGCGGCCGACCTCGTGAATCCCAGTGGCTGACGTAAATGGACTGCAGTTAACTCGCATCCGGTCCGCGCCGGCCAGAGGAGCTGCAGGCAAAGCAGCCTCTCCACAGCCAGCCCCTCTGAACCTCTGAGCGCACTTGCTTTACACCACACCTCTTCCCCAGTGAGGACCCCATGTCCCAGCTATGGGGACTGCGGGAAAATCAAGTGCGCACGGCTTGCGCAAAGACTGGTGGACCATGTCCTCAGAGGAGGGAACAGGCCACCCGAACGCTGCCTTCATTTCTTTTTAACCTGCTGTAATTTGATAATGAGCCCACTCAGGGGAAAGACGTCACATGACAGATGTACAACAATCTAGCAGTGACGACTTAAGTGAAATCATCTGAATCTTGTAAGGTGGCGTGATAAAAGACAGCATAGCGGACAGTGTGATACGTTGAGACTAATCATAGATGCTGATCAAGAAAAAAAGAAAGGAAGAAAAAAAAGTCATAAATGAATGTTGGGCACATCACATGACATTGTATTGCTTTATTGTCTCGAACAAGTCCAATAAATTCATGAACTGGTTCCAGTCTTAAGCATTTAAAAGTCATGTGCATTGGGGTACGTTCCTAAATTAATCTTTCAATCAGATGAGGGACAATCTTTGTCGACTAATCAGCCTCACTCTCTAACCTTTACACAAAGCGCCACTGAACAGATGGAATTTGAGCACAAATTCTTTGCAAGATGACTCCACTAAAAATATGGTTTGTTAAATATGATGATCTCTGGTATAAAAATATTATACAAATTGATATTATGTCTGATTGCAGAGATGGTTTCTGTTGTGCTGTAGAATTATGATCATACACCTTCTCATGCTGTGATGGGACAAACACAGATGCTATTTTTAATGACATTACTCTTTCAAGCTAATTGCAACTTTATTGGGATTGGAACAAGGAACCTAGACATGGGGTGACAGTGGATATAGAGCAGAGGAGTTTTGTCCAATATCTAAAATGGCTATGTCTAGTTTCAAAGCTTATATTGGCCTCAGTATTGTGCATTTTCACATCAATTCAAAATATTAGTTGGAAGACTGAGAAAATACAGTAGGGATGTGTATTACAGCAAGCATACATCCTGCTTGGAAACAGAAAAACAGAATCCATACGACGTGTGACCTAAAACGTGTGGATCAATGTAACGGATGCTGAGCTGATCCCAGTCGCCAAAGAATTCTGAATGAACAAAAAATGCAGGAATGCGCTTTCTCTTTCTGTAAATTCGGCGCACAACAGCTTGATATAAATAGCCATTTATTCGGCACACACGCCTCCTTTGCATGCTGTAACTGGAACATGACTTCTTTGTTTGTAAAGTCTTTCCATTTGTCTTTTAACCACCAATAGAAACTGAAAAGATGCCACCTGAGTCCCCTGAATATGCACCTGGGAGGGTAAGGCCGAGAACTATGGAGCACAAACACTGGATACGCAGTCAATGTGGATGAAGACCCAACGTTGTTCCTCTGTTGTTATGTAACAGGTCGCAACGCTGCAAGGCTTCACCTGTGCGTGAGGGGGTGGGAATGGGGGCTGTCATCACTCAGTTTAATGTCATCTCCATTAGGGGGATCGTATTCATGCCTCAAAAAGGTAGAAAGAACCCTTGTTGCCCGGCACGCAGGAGCTGGTGGGTTATGCAATGTCACCGAGCAAGAGGCTGCAACTCAAGAAATGATGTTACATAACTGACAAGGCGCATTCACACAGCCCACTGGGCAGCCAAGTGGAAAACAGGGTGATCTAACATTGGCGGAAAAGTGGAGAGGGAGAGAAAGGGGTATTGTGTGGATGTTATGGGATAAGAGGGGAACACAATAAAAGAGGTGTGTGGGAAACAGCCCTGGCCCGTACTGTCAGGCTGAAGGGATGAAGGTACTCTGTCCCCTCGAAAGGACAAATGTGTGCAGAGACACAGGCTGAATCCAAATGTCGCTTCTAATTATAATGCATGAGGCACTTTGAGAGTCCTGGTTTGAGAAAAAAAGGCGAGTCAGTTCACTCCATTCCTTCCAGAAAAAGACACAAACTGAGGGAAAGGAACTCGGGCCTTACGGCATCACCCAGAGAGAGAGTGGTTGGTGAATAAAAGAGTGAAAGGAGAAACTCGCAGGAGAGCACCATTAGCTCCCATTAAGTCCAGGATTATTCAGTTAACTGCACAAAGATGCATGGCTCCCGTTTGTCTTCCACAGGAGACGGATCACTGTGTGATTTGGGTTTGGAGTCAGGAGATTTAGCGAGCTGCGCTCATCACGGACTCTCACACGCCACGAATATCCTCCGGGCCTGGTCTCAGGTCAGCAAACAGTCCCCCGTGCATTTTAAGCATGTCCGCACCACCAGAACCAAACAGACGCAGAGCTGCAGTGTGGAATCTGGGAATTTAAATCCAGCCAACCGTACATCTGAATAAATAACTAAATCGCTGAGATGTCACCAAGCATGGATTGTTCCCGTCAATTCATCTTCTGCTGCCTTTAACACGGGTTTCTGGTAAATAAATTGGCATCTGAGGCTGAGGTAACGTTGCCATGAAGCTCAGCAGTCACCACTAGGAGACAGCTGCCCAATAAAGCTGCAAGTGGGGAGAGAAAAAAAATACAGGAAAAAAAGGCATCTCGGTAAAGCCAGAAGAATTTCCATTCCGACTGTGGCTCGCCACTGCTCTTTGAAAGAACACTTGTTTTTGCACAGGAAAGGAGTCAAACGCTGAACGCCCAGCCCGCTACAATATCGGGCGAGCAGCTGGTGGACCCCGTGGGCTAAGCCAAGGTGGGCTGCTCCACACGTCACACCTCGAACCGCCACCGCAGAGAGAGGAAAACCAAGGGCAAAATGGGAAACGGGAAACAGACCATTTTCTCCATCAGTAACACATGGCCTGGTGAAGATCTGAAGCCGAGTCCCCCCCTCCCCCTCTCCCTCCCTCCCACTCTACACCCCATTCATGTCTGCTTCCTGACTTCAACACTCTCAGAGCTGAAAATGAAAATTCACCTCAGCTCTGCATTCCTCACATCTCTGAGGAGGGAAGCAGTAGAGAGGAGGGTTTGTGTGCCCGCTCCAGACCCCAGAGTCATCAGACATCGTGTTGATGAGACAGTTCCTCCCTCCCCGACGCCTTCCACTTACTTTTCAGGTTACACAGCCTCTCCCATCAGATGACTGAGGCTTTAATATCATCACAGATGTCCCCCCCCCCCACACTTTGCTCCACAGCCTTGGCCTGACGCGCACAGGAAAGTCTCCCATGCTCGTTCATCATCCCCATCACCGACTCAGTCCTGAGTGCTCTCCACCCAACAAGACACACCCCGAGCAAAAATAACTCCACAGGGCTGGACCTCAGCACGTTACATAAAAAGAACATACATCACAGAGGAGCCGTGACTCACTGGCTGCAGCGAAATAAGGCCGCCGAGCGCAACAACCGCCAGACGTGAATAAAATAAAAAAAAACTCAGTTCAAGGGGGGGATAACAAACCGTATTTGCTCCACGCCGGCGCCTCTTGGGAAAAACCACAGGATGAGCAGCAGCTGTGATGCACGCTGCCACCCCCTATTACATAAGAGAGCTTCCATCCAATCACATAATTGGTTTTGAGAACTTTGAGAACCCGTGACAGCTCTGATGCGGGCAGCAAAGTGCGAAAAATGATCAGTAAAGGAGAATATGAATGAGTACCTGTTTGGTTCGGGAGGACAACAGACACAGGGCCGCTCCAGGCTCTGGGGCACAGTAGCAGACGCGGCCGTGGACTAGATATAAAAAGGGAGCAGGACCCATATGCAGTGCAGATGCAAATTAATGTTTATCACGACCTAAGCCCCTTTAATCCCGCGCTTTTGGCTTAACCCAGTCTTACATTAGAAAAATGCGCTGTAGAAAAAGCAAGGTGTGACAGAGTAAGCTCTAAGCTCTTTGCCCAAGTGGGCGTTTTGATTCCTCAGCTTTGTTTACAAAGGATGCGAATGATGCTCGCTTACAGGTTTTCGTCCCACTGACACAGCAGGATGTTGCAGCGCTCCTCTGTGAGTGGGCAATCATGGCATATGGCATTTCTGTACTCTTGGCGGGGGCCTCCGTCAGCTACCCTCCGAAGCCAACTGCCTAGCTTGGACATTTCCCAAACACAACAAATTTGAGAATGGCACCGATCACTGTCAAAATAATCATTCATCAATCATTCAACCACTCTCAGTGGGCAGATCACACTCTCCACATTTAGGTTCTCATTGGAAACCCTTTGTTGTAGGATCTTCTGTTTACTTTGTGTTTGTTTATTAACCCCCTTTTTTCCCCCTTCTCCAGCTTTTGGATTTCCCAAAGTTTACTCATGTTAATCATTTGCAACTATTACCCCTTAAAGAATGCCAAATCCACGACATGCTGCAAACGTATGTGATGGATTCCTTTTGGAAATCTGGGGCAGATGTACACATTTACGACTTTTACAAAATATTTTGAAGACATGATTCCAAAAAAGCTACAGACAAATACGATAATACTACTTTGTAGTGACGTTCTGTTTGAGATGCGAAAAAGAGGCTGAGATTTCCTTCACATTCTGATCATCATTCCAAAGTCAGGCGTGTAAAATGAATTGAAAGTAAGAGTCTCAGCCGATCTCCCACATATCTGATCTACAATGAATGACCTTAACTACTTTCCGAAATCTGGCAGCAGCGCGCCTGTTCAAAAACTAGCGTTGCAAAAGCTTTCAAATAAACGCGGATAGAATCCCCAATTAGGGTCAATATTTGCCAAACGAGCGGGATCACCATCATCAGCCGAAAGTTTTCACTGACCTGGACCTCCACAAAGCGGGCGCCACTTACCGAAATACACCGTCTTCTCGCACTTGGGGCACTTTGAAGCCATGTTGTTGGGGGTCGAGTGAAAGCGTTGGTTTTGGTTTGTCCGCCGCAGCTCTCGTCGTCTGGCTCTTCTCCGAGCAGCAAGTGTCCCGTCTCTCACGCGGGCAGGAGCATCTATTCAGCCGAAAACTCCTCATTTGCATAGCCCCGCCCCCCCAGCCTCACCAGCCGGGCCTGGCTACTTTACGCGTCGTGGGAATGTTGCAACTTTCCAACAAACGTTGGCAAACAGATTCACTCTTTTAGTCCCACTCCCTACCATATCAATCTGACTGATATTTTTTATTTATTTAAATGATAAATACATAAGTCCCCAAGCCAAGGCCAAACAGCATCTGTTTTCTAAATGCAACTACTTTTGAACAGTCTCAGTTTCTGTGTTGACTAATTCGACACCCTCTCATCCCTTTCCATGTGGACATGCAGGTGAAAGATGTTAAACAGCAAAGTTTTATTGATGAATAGTAAAGCATTCAGGTATATTAAGACAGATACATTTCTTTTGGATGTATTTCAGTCAGATATCATCCCAAGAGGGTTTTGTTGTGTACCCGTAGAAATGTTGTTTCCTAAATCTCTTTGTTCTTACTTTCTAAAAGCACATTTGAACTATTTTACACAATTCAATTCAACCATGCAATACTTTGATTGTTACTTCATTGCTTTATTATACTTTATCTTGCTCGATTGAGTTAGATTGACGTATTTCAGATAAATGTGTCAACATTATGGCCCTTTTTAAATCGAAAAATGCAAAACAGTTATAGTTGTCAAATTTGTGTGGATTCTTTTTCAGAGTCACCACTAGGATTGCAACTTAAATATGCAATGTGTTTGAACCGTGGCACTCTCAAGCTCACAATTCCATCACAATCTTGTATTTCAATACCTCCATGCTGAACTTGAAGGCAGCACGTTTCTCTCCATAAGCCAACCTCTGGGCGCCTCAGTCAGCAAAGCCAGGCGGGAAATTTATTTTTGGGGCCAACTGGTAGAGCAGTGCACTCCCATTTCCTTTTTTCCCTACAGAAGAGTGGGCAGTGTCTTGTTGAATTACAAAGCTCTCTTTCAGACTGAGCGTTTCATTGGAATTCGTAAGGCAAAGGAAGACACTGAAACGTGGCTCGGGTGGCTCAGCTTTCCCTTCTGAAAGCATTAGGCATACTGAGAGGGATAATAAGAGGTGGAGAAAAAAAGGTCCTACATTTTTCACAGTCCAGCATTACATTTAGCTGCTGCATTCGCTTGTGATGACTAATTAAAACCCTCATTGACAAGACATTATCAGTTTCTCCAGTCTCCTTCTTTCCACTCGGCCTCTTGAGTCAGTGGGGGACTGAGATAATCTTTTTCACACATTGGCGCTGTCTGGTCTGTCTGCCTTGTGACACAGAGCAGGTCCCTGTCCAGGAACAGCCACCCTGATATTTCCCACATCTGCGTAACGGCTGATTAGCCCCCGTCAGTGTCACAGCAAATTCTTCCTTCTTATCTCTGAGCTCACTGTTTTTAGAAAGAAGTCAGACAAACGGTCACTGGTAGACTCAGTGGTTCCTTGAAGGAGGCCAAACTGTACACTGGCCAGTCAGAGAGATAATCCTTTGTCTATAACAGAGGTCTTGAGTTCATAGTTGTTCGCCCTCCAGTTGTTTGCTGTGGTTGCTGCTTTGTTAGCAAATCAGCCGCAATGCACAGTCAGACCTGCTGAGAAGAGGCCAAATAGACAAAGAAGAGCTGAAGATGGAGGGCTAATGATGTTAAATCCTTGGTTCACTGGAGACATGTAATACGGATAAAGCATCTTTTAAAACACTTTATTAACAACCAATGTATGGAGTAAAAGATTCATATAAGAAACGCTATTGACATTCTTATAAGCTTGTGATTTGAAGCAGTGTGACTGGATGCGTTTGAACTGTGGGTGATATCAGCGAGATGGGAATGGACACATCCAGGCCAACAGTTTTCTTTTTAATTTGTTTTAGACCTGTTCTTGGATAAGACTCACAATTCTCCTTTTGAGTAGACCAAACATCCAGCCCTGGGGGAAAAGACGGTAATAGACAAAAAGGGGTAAATAGTAAAGGGGCGGGGGTGGTCTTAAGGGCCAAAAAGCATGAAATTGCTTTACAGTTCTGAATAATGAATAGACAACAATATCCAGTGCAGTCTGGCACATTTGTTTGTACACATATGTTTTAAAGCGCTACTTGTAAAAGCTGTTGGGTAAATATATATTTAGTTACCCACACATATACATATACCTGCAGTATGTAGATAGATATATGTATACATAATCAGCATTAAGAGCATTTAAAGTCATTAAATGCAAGAAAATGATTATTTACAGTCATCATGGGATGGGGTCAGATCAGACCATCATAGAGTACAGCTAACAAAAGGGAGGATAAAGACAAAAAGTGCTTAAAGGTTCTCATGATGTGGCTGAAAATGATGTGTTTATGCCGGGAACCCTTTAGTCATCGATGTAAGGGCGTAACCTCAGCAATGAACAACCTTTTCAGGCAGTATTCAGTCTTCATTTGCGACAGAACCTGACCCTGCCTGCAGCAGGTGTTTATGAATTCCTGCAGAACACCTGTCCTAATCACTACCCGCCTCCAGACACATTCACGAGCCCTGTAACTCAAGGCCAGACAGGTGCTGCCAGGGACCCCAGACATTGAAAATGCAATGTTTCTCTTCCTTCACTTCCTTCCTTTCCCCCTCCAGTTCACAAACAAACTCACACATGCAGACTCCATAGATACAAATGTGAGCATAATAAGCCAGATCCACGTGATGAGGAGCAAAAGCCATCCTCAGCACTGCCCAAGAGCACATTAAACGCACCTCACTTGTTTCATGAAATAGGCAGCCACATGACTACGATTAGATTGATGGTTCCAGAGGCCTCTATTTGCAATCCACAATTAAAAGACCTCTGACAGCTGTAGTTTTTCTTAAAATGTAAGCACATTCCACGTTTATGTAGAACATGTGACTTGTTGGATGAACATGTGCATGTCTTTGAAAGAAAGAGAGAAAGAGGGAGGGAGGGAGAGAAAAGAAGGAGCTTGAATTAATCATTTAAACGTTCCCACAGCATACACTCAAGAGGGATGATTATTTTAGAAACAGTAGCCTGTGTTTACTTCTGCCCGGAGACAGGGCCCAGATTGCATGTTCCAGATGATTAGCTGAAAGGTGTGTTAGGAGACTGAGTAGTTATTTAATGGAGAGATGCTTACTCACAGGATAAGCCAGAAATGACAACAGGGACAGTTTTCCTTCATTCTCTGAGTCTCAAGCTGGACTCTTCTATTTTTGGCAAATCACAAAAAGTCCCAAAGGAAGCAAACTATTCGCTTACAATCAGACCGTTGAATTCATAATGCTCAAAATGCATTCACTTCTTTTAGTCACATGGTTTCAGTTGTAGACTCTAATTATGCGAGATAAGGGGATTAGGTGGCTGCAGCACCACAGACTTCATGCACTCGCCCCCATCTCCTGTGGTGTGTGGTGCTGGTTAAAAATGACAGAGTAAGAATACTTTTTAAAAAAAAGTCACAGATAAATTTTGCTGCAAAAAAACTACACACAAAACATATCATTCTTCTTAGTGTCTTCTTCTGACACTAAGTCTGAAGAAAACACATGCTGCTGCACTAAAAGGATCTGCGATGGTCTGACAGAACACTTCTGCAGCCTCTTTTGCTGAACTCAGTACTCCCGCATGTCCATGCCATGCATCAGGAGTTCTCAAAAAGCCACCTGCTTAACTATTTACATTCCAACCTCAAAAAACCATACTAATCACACTCTATATCTAAGAATGCATGCCTCCTCTTATTGAGCCAAATGTTTGATTTTATAATTACGGTAGAATATAATATGCAGTTACCTTTCTTGGATTATCAAAAGCACTCTTAGGTCTAAAGTTGGTCCAGTTGGATAATTAAGAACGCTAAACAACACTGAATGATGTGTGACTAACAAGAATAAAATAGGAGTCATTTTCATATATTGTCCTAACTGGAGACCAAAAGGAATTTATTACCACATTAACTCAAGAGTAAGCTCTCCAACCCTGACCCATAATAACACACATGGACACTGGGAACTGGCTACAGGCTTCACGTTGTTTTTTACAGACAAAACATGGGTTTGTTGGTGGAACATTACAGTGTTTGAAATGCAAACAGTGGACCGCTCTCGTGTTTTTAGCTGTGAACAGTCCATTTTGATGTACTTTACTCCCACTGAGACTGTGGGATGGGGTGAGGAGTTAGATTCCACTGAATGCCATTTCTAGTGACGAGGGTGTATTGTTTTACTTGGCAAGCGACTTTGTTGTTGGTCTTTAAGCACTTTCACTGCCACCCTGTGAAATTTATAGGCCTATTGCCATCTCAGTGAATAAATAAACCCAATAAATCTGCAGTTTTTTAAATTCTGTCTCATGTTTATTTACGGAATAAGCACAAAATTATAAACATTTGTGCTCGACTGGCTCATGGCACTTAACAGAGGCTTAGCACCTCAGCAGAATATTTTAGTAAGGGAGGGGATGGTAACCGCTGGGAGAAACCTTTGGAGGTTTTGATAGTTCCATCTTTGAGTTTTCTGATCTTCTTTATGGTAGGGCTCGCTATTATTTCAAAAGGACCCAAACTACAAGTGTGATGGTATGAGCTGGACAACCGCCTGACTGAATAGCTTATGTATACATTTCTTCCTGCAGCACGCTGATGACGCAGCTTTCTTAACACCAAAGCCCCTGACTGTCTGAGCGATCCGTGCTCTACCTTTTGCGTGGAAGCATGTTGCTGAAGTGATCAATAACGGCTGATCTATAATGCACTGGTCCGAAAAACTCAGGAAATGTGGTGAATGTGCAGCGTGAGTTGCACGAGTCATGCGTTCGTCAGCAGAGGAATCACTCAGCAGCAAAACGTACCTGAAATGTTCCTACTCCACAGCTAAATCTTTTTTTTTTAATGCAAATAGCTCCTTTAATGTACTGCCATGTATGTATTCTATCATTTTACATAATTTTATGATACTTTGTGGTACTGTCAAAGATTGATATTTAGATTACTACCACCAACAGCATTTTATAGGCCATAGATTATCTAATACTGGCTCCTCAGAGTTAGTATATAACAAAGTCAGACTTCTTTGAGGAGATGCTTTCATGACATTCCCTGAGGAGTCAGTGTTTTCCTTCTCATGTCTTTTATCTGACAGCCGCTCCCTTGACGAGAGGTCAACCCACAAACATTATCAGTCACTGTGACAAGCTCCTGTCTGCTGGTTCCCCTTGAGCCCAAACCTTATCATCAAAATCTCACTACTGGAAAATTTTCTTGACATACAGCATCTACTAAAGTCGGTTGGTTTCTTCTGACACCTCAGATTTCAGCTCCAATTGCAACTTACGTTCATTCAGACTCGGTGGAAAAATCAAAAGCTTCGCTCTATCTGATGTACAGAAAACAGGCATGTTGTCTCGCTTTAGCTCTCAGCTCAACATTTTCCACGAGGTCTCACCATTGCCTTAAGTGCTTACTTGGTCAGTTTAAGAGGCAAACAATATAGCCCCCACTTAGCTAGTTTTTTCCCAAATAATTATTTGTCTAAAGTGATCATAATATCTAGCTATATTTATGCATGCTTGAACTGTTACTACGTGCATCATAAATCACAGACAAGTATCTTGAGGTCAGCCGCTGCAGTTCAAGTTGAAAAGTTTCCACTTTGAAATGATAAGAATTACCGTTGGAAATACGTTTAAATCCGGCACTTGATTCTAGATACCATTTCCCATGCCATGCATTCCTTTCTCTGTGTTCAACTGTTGTGGATTTCCCCCATATGGTTTGGTTCTCTCACCAACTGCTAGCACCTCTCTGAGGATGGAGACACATTTGATGGTTCACCAGCTGTTTCTTAACAGAAAAAGGTGCAGCTCTTACCGAGTGGCTTCTGGCATTTTGACACATGGTCTCATGGCTGAAGGAAAACTCAGCGACGGGATTCCCCTGTAAGGTGGGGCCTGGAGTGTCACTTTGGGTCCCACATATGCCACAGTCTGGCTCCACTTCTGAGACAGTATATCCTTTCCCCTGTCATGGTCACTCCTCTTTTGCTCTGTGAAGTTCAGAATACCATAACCCATAAGGTCATTATTGCTAATCCTTCTTGGCTATTTCCTTTATGTGTCTCCATCAAAAATATGTATTAGACAGAAAAGTGTCTTCAGTTAAAGTAAGAAATTTAAGACAATATATATATTGGGACGGCTGCAGCTCAAGAAAAAGAATAGTTGTCAATAGTTGTAAATTGATGGTTTGATACCGCGTTCCAGGGGACTGTGTATCAAAATGTGCATGGGTGAGACACTGAGCCCCACATTGCCCATCTGTATTCATCCATTCCTCTTCCATGCCGCTTATTCCCAACAGGTCACGGGGGAGCTGGAGCCTCACAGAAATAAACAACCACACACACTCCCGTTCACTACAGGGGCAATTTAGAGCGTCCAATTAACCAAACATGCATGTTTTTGGACGGTGGGACGAAGTACCCATCGAGAACCCACGCAGACGTAGGGAGAACTTGCAAACTGCAAACAGAAAGGTCCCTGACCCTCAAGGGACTTGAAGCAGGAACCCTGGTGTTCCACCTGTACATATGTACGGTAATTTGGATTAAAGCATCTGCTAAAAGTATATATGGAAAGTTATGTTTGATATAAACACTTCTGTTGGAAAGCATTGGTGCTACTGACAAGTATACCTTTAGAATCCATAACAACTCACTGAAGGAAAATTCCCTCTGTTAGACGTGAATGGATTTCTGGATCTTTCTTTTTCTCTCTCACTGCATGAGCTTCAAAGGGAGCATCTGAGGACAGTGGAAAACTGTAGTAATGGTGCCCCCTGCTGGGAACCTGTGGTCAATGTAACCCAGAGAAATTACTTTTGAGAAGCATTGGCAACATTCAGGGCTTAATGACTGAGGACAAGTTTAATTTGACCCTACACATGATAGATAGCAAGATTGTAGTATGTCCAATTTCTGTTGCTGAAGCTGCTATCATTTCTTTGTATCTGCTCTTTTTGTCAAACATAGCACAATAGCTCCCTCTATTGTCATGTTCATAAGAATGCACACTTTCCTTAAAGGAGACATAGCTGTCTTATGGCAGATGGGTGAGAACATGGCAAATTATTTCTAATGAACACATCAAGGATTAGTATACCATTTAGCAGAATAATAAATGTTCTAATGTCTAAGAGTATGGCCCATCCTGAGAAGCCCTAACATGATCTTGGCAGAGTGACTTTATTTGGTGATGGTATCAGTGCTTTACAATGCATCTTCATGAGAAAAGTGTCAGAGGTTGTTCCTTTATGAAGATATTCTTGTTCTTTCTGCAGTTTTTCTTGAAGGCGTCCAAACAGAGAGAGGTGTGCAGGAGAGAGCATTCAAACAATGGCCCTTTGTTGCCCTTTTGTTTCTAGATTTGAGCACAGCCCCAAGCCACAGACTAGTTTCTACCTAAAAAAAGGCTTAGTTGATTTCCTCCATAATTGTCACTCCCGTAAATGTATATACATTCACAGGATGGAGGAAATTATCATTATGAGACAGAAAGACAAATAGAGTGCCTTTCATAGGCCTTGCTCCAGTACAAACTAAAAACGAGAAAGGAGACTCAAGCCAAACCATATCCACAGACCGATATTCATCAGGGAGAACACCTGCACTGCACTGCTCTGAATACAGTACTGCCTGCGTGCCCGTCTGCTTGTCATCCTGACTCCAGCAACATCTGGCAGAGGAGCAAGTGGATTCAAAATTAACATCTGTACAGCAGCAAGCAGCCAAGTAAACACTCCTAATGAAACAAGGAATTATTCCAAAAATATAACACTGTTGATCATCTTTGTTTCGCTTTAATGAGAGCCACATTATGTTTTGGCACTGTCTTCTTTGTGGCTCATTGAGGAAATATCCAACACCTTATAAGACATCTCACTCAAATGAATATGCACCCGACAAAAGATGCAGCAACATTGTATGTCTTTGTTCCTTTGCACTGCATTCAAATAGGACGTTAAGCACATAATTAACCAAAGCACTGTTTTAAGACAATAAGCAGAAATGTTCAGGTCAGACTGCATTGTATGTGCTTGTGCACTGTATGTGACATAGAGCAGTCTAAATTAGAGAGGAAATCACACATCAAGTGGATGATGATGACGCTCTTTCATTGTTTAACACAGAATTATAGTTTAGGCCATGTCAAAATGCGTCTGAAAAAACATTAATGAATTCATTATATATGGATCTATATGATATAGCAGGGCCAAGACATAAATGTTTGTGCACATTTATATATGAAGCACACACACTGTCTGTTCCTTGTTCTTTGTCGTAAAGGAGCTCCAGGACATAATCCAGAATCCCTCCCATGCAGTAGACTTCCAACACTGAGACTAAACACATGAGTAGGAGTGCATACTGTAAGTCATTGTGATTGGCCAGTAACAGTCATGTGACTGCAGGCTGCCATCCCTTGTGTTAGACCACAGTAATTGAAGCTTCCATATGGTATAGATCAGATGTAGCTTTCACCACTGCTTTTCTCCAGAACAGCTCTATGCTTGTATCTGCAATGAAAACTGAGCTAATTTAACTGAAGTTTGTGATGACATACACCAAATCCCCTCATCATGAAATGTTACACATATAAAAAATCTTAACACAAGGGCAAAAGCTTTTCTGTTTTGGCTTGCAAGGAACATTTTATAATTTGATTACCATAAACTAACAGTATAGAGAAATTATATAACACACACAAAGTTTGAAAAAATAGTCTTTGAAAAAAGTTTTGCCCCCTTTGTATATGGTCCAACCAATAATATAAAAGGTTTTCCTCTTGATATTTTGGATGTAGGTCCATACAACTAACTAAGTAGATGGTGTTAATAAGCCTATGAGCCCCAATTTTCCAAAGTGTTGTGGGAATCCTGCATAATCCAAATGATGATGCAATGAGTCACTGAGCATTCATGTCTTCCCTACATCAGTGGAATGACTTCATTACACATTTATATTTTTGTTCACCAATAGCTGATAGGTTAATGTAATACAAAAAAACAACAACAAAGAAAACAGAATGTACAGCACAATGGTTCGAGGCAAAGCAAATTGAAAAAAAGAAAAGAAAAAAACAGTGAACAAATTTGCTCTCATAAGCCTTAGAAACCTGTGTTGGTCTTCTGCCTTAATGCATTGGACCCCCAGGGGCCCTTCTTTTGGTCCCTGATTGGGGCTTGGTCACCACTGAAGTGCCTTTTTTCTTAGGTGATACATTAACAGGTTACATCAAGTTGAATGCAAATGGCTTATTCTGATATACACACGTGCACATTAAGAACTTTCTTTAACTGAATATGGGGGTTTATAAATATAGCTCTGACCTACAGGTCCCTCCAATGGGAAAATGATCAAATATCGCGGTAATTTAGTATAACACCACAGCTGATTTCACACTAATTGCCTAAGATTTTTAAGATAGGGATTCTTTCAAGCTAGCTTTTTATTGATACGAGATACTACTAATTTATAGATAATGGTCTTTTTTTTCTTGTAAGATCTCTAAACTGGCAAATTACTACTGGACTAATCAAGAAAATGTGGACGATGTTACGAAATTTAAAGCAGGACAGTTGGAATTGGACTTACCAGTGACGTAACGAGCTTATTATGCAGTAAGTTTAAAAAACAATGGCGTCGGCAGATGTAAATTGTGCCACAGGATAACAGTAATAAAATAGTCGAAATTGAAGTGGCGCTTTGTTACACTGCCAGCCCGTACGTACTATCGATGAAGTTGGGTTTTAGAAAACAGGGGTACTGTCTCTTTAAAATCTCTTGGCCACTCTGTTTCGTATTGATCAATCCACCATTTTCCAACACACAGCGGCGGCAGTGCTAACACAGCTCCGGCAGCGCGAGAAAGAAGAGAGCCACCCCTCTACCTGGAGAGGAAACCAGGGTCCAGGGGCAGTCATGGCAGCGAATATGTACCGGGTTGGAGGTAAGATTGGGAGATTACGTTTGAGTCTTTTCGCAGTCTTTATGGCGGTCTCGCTATGATTCACGTCGGCTCTTTTATGTGTTTGGAGAGTGTGGACCGTTTCTCCTTCCCTTCTTTTATTTCCCTAAAGCTAAAGAGGCTTGTTCCTCCCAGATGATGATGGTGACTGTGTGAAGAGGAGGCTGGTGATGAAGAGTAGTGGTTCTCCCCTAGAGCAACCAAAAAAAATGTCCTCTTTTGAATGTTTTTCATTGTTACTGAACACGAATCCAAACTACTTAACAGTAATGATGCACCTGGAGTAATATGCATTTTGTTTGTGTGTATTTAAAATAATGGCGAACGTGTTTGAGAAAGTTTTTCGTGCCAGTCAACTATTGTTCTGGCTACTCGCTCATATAAGTAACATTATGAGTAGGAGTGTATGCAAGAGGAGGCAGCTGGGACAAAAAAGTTAAAGGCTACACTTATTTATCCGAGCTGAAATTGAAGCATTTCCGTTACCTTAAAACAAAAATGAAAAAAGGGAACATATAAAGATAACTTGCTTATACAACCAGGGTCTTTTTCCTTCTTTTTTTTGCACAGGCAACTGCTCTTAATACCTAATTAGGATTCCTAAGTCCCCCTCCTACTCATTTTCTTCTTGTGGTACTCTGATCCACATCCCGCTGGTAAAAACTCAACATTGCTGGAGCTGCACCTTAGTTCAAATACAAAAGTTACACTTATACATATCATTTTTGTCTTGGATAGACAAAGATGCTAACGATCTTTTAGGGGATGAAAAATAACTTAAAACCCCCCTGTGTGTCACTTTGACAGTGTGGTTCATGGGATGGTTCCTTTGTTCCTTAATGGTTTTTAATTGACTACATTATGCTAGTGATGGCCGATCATTGTCCGTCATGTAAAACAGAAATTCACTCTCCTCAACTTCATCATTTTTTTATTAGTCGCATCATGTGGTCAGCCTCTCTGAGACATCGGCCAGTTAAGCCTGCATGTTCTTGTCTATTGCAACGAAAAAGTTATTTACGTATATCAATCTTGTAGCTTTAAGATATTTGTAATGCCCCCCCTACACCTCAAGCTGTGCCTTTTTTCCTCATTAAGTTAGAAACATTGAAATACTTGTTTATTTGAAACTGCAAAGTGTAAAAAAATCACATTACTGAATGGATCTCTTAGTTTTTGCACGGAAATAATAACTGAGATATAAAGACATAATAATAATAGAAATACACCCCAAAAATAAGTCGTATGAGCCCTTCCTGAGACCAATTTATCCCCGTGTCAAAACAAGGCATAGTCCTTACATAGATGGTTGCAAAATTTGCAAGACAATGCAGGTCCGTCTTGGGAAGGCATTGACTTCCTTTGAAAGAGCGCTGGACAAAAGCTTGCTCCTCAGTCCTTGATGTCTTTGTTTTTTTTACTATTCAGGCCACAAGCCACTCATCCGGTCCATGCAGCACCTTATCCTAGTGTTTCCCTCCTAATACAAGAAATTGTTAGTGACTAAATATGGATTATCTTAATGGTGACAAAAGAAGAGGAACTAGAAAAGAGTCGCTTAGAGACTCTGCAAATTTATTGTTCAGTTGAAACTGAGCTCAAAAGATTTAAGCAGCCTCGGAGGGGGTTGGAATTTTACAAGTCTGTGATTACAAAGATTTCTTTTAATGTGAATTAAAAAAAAAAAAAAAGAAAGATTGACCATACAGAGAGTTAAGTAAAGCACATTTTGCATCAGATTCACCCCAAGTCTTTTTTTATTTTTTCAAAGAAGTCTTAATAATCTGCAAAGAAGAGGTGAGATGGAGAGGATCAAACACAGGAACACTTCAGAGAATGTGATCAATTTTCAAACGTCCTGTGCAGAATGCCGATTGGGTGCCATGTCGCTGCATCCACACAGCTGGATACATCAGGGAAGAATTCAACTGATCAGAGGATTGTACCTATGGATAACAGTTTCAGCAGCTTGAGGAGCGAGTTGCCTTTCATTTTAGGTTCCTTTTATAACTTGTGAGGAGCCCTACCAGAGTGGACAGTATATAAACTTCAAACGCAAGAATTATGTGAAAAGATAGCTAGTGAACAAGTTTTAAGTCAGCTACAACATAAGCTGTGATCTCACTCTGCATGATGTGACTAGTTAAGCTGGTTAAACTAAAAATTAAGCTCTATTAAGAATTAAACAAAACCATGTTACAGGTGGAATGGAACCCACCCGCTTCCCTTGGAAAGGATATGGAATACTGACATCAATTTCAAGAATGATTTCAGCATGAAAAAGCTATTGCTGTCCTTTTTTAAGGAAATGTGATGATTATTATTGAAAGATTGAGCTGAAATTATCTTAATAACTTCACTGTTATTGTGGCTTCTTGTGTGGGGCAGTTTATGGACAAAATGTTCGAAATGTGTTGCTGTGTTTACTTAAGAAGTGACAAACACGGGTGTAAGTGAGCATTTCTTGTGGCTCGTTCTCTTCATGCTGCCCGTTTAGATTCACAAGTGCTTGAGATTGCTGTACTATTTACTACAAGACAAACTGGCTTTCAAACTTTGACAGAGCTCATACTTTGCTTGGCTGATAGCTGGTGTTAATTTCCCACACCAGCAGTCGTCTCTGCTTGAGGTCTGGCGGGTGTACTCTTGGAGTGAAAATCTTGGGCTTCTTAGCTCCCTCCCTGCCAAGTTCAGGACAGCCAGTTGGACAGATGCATGACAGCAATTACACACAGTCAACAAAATGTCCCCATCATTTAATTTCAGAGGCCAAATGGCACATATGTCTGGAACAGTAAACATTATTTGCCAAGAGCTAGACTCCTTGGTCTTTGCGGGAGCCCCGATAAATGGAATTTGAGATCTTATCTATTTGGGTTTAAAAGCTCTAAGGAAATATTTTTTTTGTGTAGATTATGCGCAGTTTTGTTAAATAATAATCAGAATGAAATGAGATGCATTTTATTGCTGCAGGAAAAAAATTACAGGCGTCCAAAAACAGAAGCGTGAGAGATAGTGAGGAAGAGGAGCTCATTTCTTTTTTTTCCCATTTCACACACCACAGACGTAGATCGAGACAGTTAGTAGGTAAATATAGATGCACTGATCAATATTTTGTTGATTCAGTGTTAGATGTGCAGCTGTTTTTTTTCTGTCAGGTATTTCAGACACAACATTGCTGCAATCAAAGTATGAAAAAAGAGGCAGGAGGCTGATTTCAGAATATTCAATTTCCTTCTATTACCATAGAAACCTCCATCCATACCCGTCTGAGGTGTAGTCTTCACCATGGTTGCTGCTCGTGATAACAGACACACCTCTCAGTGAGGGTGTGTGAGCAGGCTTCGGATTGGGTGTGGGCTGTTGAGTGGGGAAGATGTGCATGGGCAAGCGTGGGCGGACGTTAATGCTCATAGAATGCTCATCCATTGGGATGTTTGAAACTTAAATACCCCAATTCTAAATGGGAAAAACAGCCCATCAGAAAACATTATACTGTACTTGTTTTGGTTAAACACTTTAACTCTGTAGTTGTTGTTTTTTTTTCTGTTCTCAAGTGTGTCCCAGGGTGCTTTTCCATTAGGCTTTGCCTCTGGTGTGTTGTATATTGTGTTGCAGCTATTATATGGAACAACTGCTTGACTGGAGTTTCAGGAGCTGGGTACTCAATCAGGTTATCACTACATGTTTGCAAGACCGTCTGTCCAGGATTTACTCGCAAAACTGCAGCTATTGTTTAAAGTTACCTCTTAAGGAATTATATTTTCGCAAAGATTAGATGATTGTGAAAAATCCCAATGTCATCTCCATGCCACTAGGATTGGAGCTGTTGCGGGTTAACTTTTTTTTCCTTTTTTTTTAAATGCACACAGCATAGCTAACAGTTTGATTCACTGCTCTGTTTGATTGTACATACTTCAGACCAGAACTTCAATCCATAAGGACAACTTGCAAATATTAAGTAAGAAAAGACTACAGAGATGTAGACAATTTAGTTTTCAGCCATTGCGTGGTGTGTATTTGATAGCCTCAACAGAGTGATTTACTTTGTATTTTAAGAAGGTGCAGATGGAAGGTATTGGTCTAGGTGACGCACTTGGCATACCAGTGTTTAAATGTTGGCTTCATTCTGTATGGATTGGTTTGTTTTTCCAATCAGTTCCCCACTTCATTTTGAGTCTTGCACTTCCTCTTTCATTCAGTTTTAGACTGGCCCTCATTTGAATTGTTTAACCAACTATTTTACCCATTTTCTGGCTGAGTAGTTACCAGCTCTTGTTTTTCCTTTCTCATTATTGCTTCTCTAAGTCTGGCTGCCTCTCTCTGGCCTGGTTTGGATCTGCCCAAAAGACACTCTTTAGGGGCTCAGAAACATGCCTTGATTGGCTTACAAAAAATTTGACTGCACTATGATGTCATAGCCACCGAAGCCTGCTGATTGGCTGATGCTAAGAGTGGGGGATGGAGAGTGGGGTGGTTGCACACAGGGTGAGGCAGCAGGAGGGTTGATGGGAAATGGAGAGACTGAGCGACGCTGTTCAGTGCCTACAGGCCCTCTTTGCCTCTCCGTTGCTCTAATTTTGAGTTCCTCTCCAGCCTGCTCTCCACCGGGCATCAGCGCCTCACATAGTGGAAACTCCAGTCACTTAACCATTTTCTGCCCGTTTCAGCATTAGAACTGGAAGAGTGGGGTCAATGTTGATCTTAAGTCATTCCATTACTGGTAACTTAAGTTTCTGAACCAGGAAAAATGAAGATCGAGCTGTGCCCACTATCGCTCTTTATTTTTTCAAATGTAGGTGGAGACTATCTGTAAATGACTAAAAAAGTCTGCACCTCATCAGAAGAGCTTTCAGAGTGTGGCCCAGCGTTGCTCTAAAACTGTTGGGAATGTTACAGCTGAATGTCCATTTTTGTCCTCACTGTGTGTCACCAGAGCATCCTTTACTTTAAGCATCCAACTCTCTGATAAAGGTACTCTGACATTTTTTTGTTTCACCAGAACCTTTTGTTGTATTGGCCCATCCCTATGTCCACGTTAGTGCTAAAATGGGTAGTTAATAGGTTAAGTGCATTTGAATTATGCTGGTTTTACCAGCATAGCTCTGAGAATTTTTTTCTTTGTCCCCGTCTTTTTATGTATTTATTGTGTTAATTCAAAAAGACGGATAAAATTTCAAGTTGGTCTCCTCAACCCTGACCTCCAGATGGCTGCCAAGCGCATCTGTTTGAAAACAAGCACACCTCTGGACCCTGTGTTCATTTTCTGTCTCAAGGTGCTCCGTTTCAAGCTGTCTTTCGATATTCGGCGGTGAGACAAAGATGCCAAAGTTCCAGCGGTGATCAGTTGGTCATTGAATAGAGAATGGGACTTTTCCTGTTTCAACTCTGTACTAAAAAATCTTTTAATTTCTTTTGGACGTCTCCAAAGATTGGGTTACGCTGTGTTAATGTGTGAGTAGAGAGAGAAATTGGTGTAGTGGAATAAAATGGAGTGGAGAAGCCAAGGTGTGCCTCTTATTCTGATGCAGTAGCTGACAATAGATGAATACATCTCTTTTCATTCATTTCTGCCGAAGATGTTAAGGTCAGCAGACATATTTAATTGCGTGAATAAGTGGGGAAAAAAGCTTCTCTCATTATGTCCTATAGTTCACTGTAAGTGGACAATTTATTAATTGGGTTGATGATTAACTGAAATTAATTTCTTGGTCATTGATTTATTCAACCAAATCCAAAGCATGGTCGCAGGTCTGAAAACCCTGTGCCAAGAAATTTACAAATAATCTGGTTTCATGACCAAATCCAAGCCTGATTTAGAAACGAGTTGAGACAAATGCCACAAATAAAAAAAGCATTTCATCTTTGGCCTGTGCTGTTCATTGTCAGAGTGATGCTCTGCTAGCTGACAGCAGTCCAAGAAATAATGACCAAAACATTTTATGTTATTCTCTTTAACTGCAAGCTGGGTTTTGACTCATTTAATTTTGGTCCATTCTCACACATAAATAGGAACTAGACTTCCCACTTGCTGTTTGCATGTCACATTGAATAGAAACGAGTTGAGGATGCACATTTTGGGGGGTTTTCCCATTCACAGAACCTGATAATGTTTTTGTAGCAAAAGCATGGGTCCACAAAAGTTATTACGGATTAATATACAAATGTATCTGTTTCTCAAGTGTTAGGATTTTCTGGTTTTTCTATAATTACCAAATATCCTTTGTTTATTGACTGTCTGAATATTTAATCTCAAACAATCTCAAGCGATTTACTCACAAAGATTTGTCAGTTAACCGGAAGTATGTTGCATCCAAACCCCATATTGTCAAACTCAAAATAATTGAATTATGAATGCAAGTTTTATAGCCATTAGAAATGATACCATAGATATTTAGCAGATTTGTTTTTAAAAATGTGTTGTGTGATATTGGTTGATGTTTTTCATTGCCTTTTGAGACCTTTTTTATTCCAGCTTGTTTAAATGTCTTTATTTAGGAGCTAGGTTTACTAAACACCAGAAAAATGACAGATGGTTGCTTTCACAGTGGCTGTGTGTGGACCTTCCCTTTAATTTAGGCTGTAAAAGTATTGCATGATAGTTCTGGATGTCAGCGCACATCCTGACTGTGTGAACATTATGGGTACATGCCTAAACCAGTTTTTGTTGGATCTTGGGAGAGCAGGAAACGAAGGCAATAGTCGGTGTGTGTGTGTTGTGGTAAAGTGGGTGGAATTTCAGGCGATTTCTGGCCTCTCTGGTCAAGGAGATGGGACCTGGGGCAACATTGGGAGAGGAAGGGCCAGATTCAGGGTGACGGGAGGATAGCTTCAGAAGCAGGCAACTTACCAAGTGTGGGGTATAATCTGACAGCACTCAGCCAAAACACATGCAGGGCTAAGACCAGGCACCCTACCAAGACCGGGGCCTGTGGGGACATCCTGGTGAGAGCTAAGCTTCCAATGGGCCTGGAGTGGCGCCAGGAGCCACACATGCATGCACACACGGTAAAGCTTGTGCAGTCTCCCTTTCACACCCACACAATTGCAGACACACTGTGCATGCAAACAACACCACACAGGGGGAGAATGAATGGAACAGTAAGACAAAGAAAGCATGAGGTTGAGGGAAATACAAGGTTTGCAGCCCGAATGGGAGGTTTGGAGAACCACATTTGCCATGTGTGGGTGTGTGTATGTGTGTGCGTGTGTGCATTAGGGCATTAACATCTAATTTAGCCAGACTTCCCAACTACAATAGGATCCACTGTGTATGAAATTAGCCTAATCAACCTAAACCAACATTTTGTGTCCGCTGCACGTCCGTGTTGGCTAATTAAGTTGTGATGGTGTCCCGCTGGAGATGTTTGGATGACCCCATAACGCTGGAGTTTTTTTTCTAATCTAAACTTTTTTTTTCTGTTTGGGTTTTCCCTTTCTCTCTCTGTTTCCCTCTCGTGCTCTGCAGATTATGTTTATTTTGAGAACTCATCCAGTAACCCACTGCTGATCAGAAGGATAGAGGAGTTGAACAAGGTAAGTGGGTGTCTGAGTTCACAAACAGACTGCCAAGTCCCTCTTTGGAATGATTTGATTGGTATATTGCATAGAATCCGGTAGAAAGTACATTTGAGTTATCGTTTAACAAAATGTGGGAAACCTTTGAGGAGTTGGCTGCTTTCTTTTTCTTGTCAAGGGAGTTTTAAGGTGTTGTCATTCTCATTTTAGAATCCCTGACCAGTCCTCAGTCCCTTTCAAAACAAACTTTATAGATTTGATTTTCGTACCGGTACCTTTTTAATTTCTTAGGTTTTTTAGGTTTCATATGGCTAAAGAGATGTTTAGTCATTACATGTCCAAATACAAAAATGGATTTAACCGTCTAGTAACAAAGAAAATATATATTGCATTCAATCACTGGTAGGATCTATTTAGATTCCTTATCTAGTGTGTTTGGCCTCTAATTGAAGGTGGGAAATACATCGGTCTTTGAGTTTTTGCTATACATTTTTATAGATATAATACAGTTCAGTATACAATAAAACATAGCCATGTACTTTCTAGTCAACGTATGAGAACTGTAATTTTAGAAAAAATGGAAAACATAATTATGTTGGATTTCAGTGACTGTCCCAATCATTTCCACTTGTCTTTAATTTGATTTTACTGGGATGATTGCTTTAAATCCTTTTGTTGGCAATTTTATGAAAGAAAAAAAAGTATCTTCAACTATTGCATTTTCATTAGTGTGTGTGTATCTGCACACAGTGAATTTATTGAGCCTGTGTGTGTGTGAGTGTGGCACAACTTGTTGCCGTGGTAACGCTGATTGTCTCTGGTTTGCAGACAGCCAATGGGAACGTTGAGGCCAAAGTGGTGTGTTTTTACCGGCGCAGAGACATCTCCAGCACACTCATCGCTCTGGCAGACAAACACGCAAGTGAGTGACCGATCATAACCCAGCCAGCAAATATAAGGCTCCAGAAATATGCCCGGCCTGTTAGAGAAAGGTCCTTTTTTTAGCAAGTCAGTCAGATGTGCTCAACAAGGTTGTGGCACCTTAACATCCAACCCAGTACGAGTTACCTACAAATGCAGTTTAGTTTTAGTCTTCTCATTTTCTTTGTTTTTCATTCAGACCACACTACATTTGATCCTATGTTTTTATCATTGTGGATACAATTGTGAGATACTCAAAAGAAAAATATATATTTTTTAAAGTGAGTCACAGTAAGCCACTTAAAAGCCTCTGCCATTAAGCCTGCTGGGTCAACCACCAAGTGGTCTACTGGAAGGCATGCTCTGCAGGGCCTGAATGAGCGTAGGGGTTCAGAATTTATTCCAAGTTTAGGACCACTTCTGATTTGAGCACAGGAATGGAAGTAATGAGTCCTCAAACTCAAAGGTTGAAATTTAAATGCTAATGAAACTAAATGCTTGTTTGGTGGCTACTTTCTAAGCCATATGACATGTACCATTACCTTTAAAAGAGGATTCTTGTTGTTCTACATCTTTCTGATTATAAAATGCCACCGTCTCCTGTAAAAAAATAAATAAATAAAATAATAATAAAGCTGCGCGCCTCTTGCATGTATTGGTAAATAAGAGATGTATTTATTTTCAGATAGCAACATAGTTATTTTGATAGTTCTCGGCACAACCTGGCTTATGTTGTTTTAAATTTACCAGTGATCAAGTTTCTTCGTCTCCAACTAACCTGTGACTATCGTGGACATAGCTTGAGGTGTAACTGCGTCCCGTTCAGCTTTTTATTTTTCAATGTGTATGCTGTGAAATATCCACAATAGGATGATGATTTTCAAAGTGATAGATAAAAAACAAAAATACTTTTCTTGCATTTCAACATTTTATTTAACTCAGTCCATGATGCATACGTGCTTACTGTTGAAACAGCTTTCCCGTTGTAGAGGTTAGCAAACCAGCTCCTGGACTTTGACTGGGTGTGGCAGGCGTAAAGTTGGCTCTTGAGATGTGGAAGTGTGTGTCCCTGTGTTCATGTTGTGTGCCCGCCCAAGAGCTACCAACTAACCCTTTCGAATGAGTGCACATGTGTTGTTGTGCACGTAGGAATACAGAGGACACTGAGGGCGCATCCATGACAGAGCGGGATTGTTTATTCCATCAGACCACACAGCATCAGCTTGTCTTTGTGTGGCTTTAGCAACATTTGCAATGCACAAAAGTGCCTGTTTACGGTTTCAGATTGCACGCTGTTGCTTAAAAATATATATTCTTTAGTGCTGAATAGACTGAGAAAGATCTTTAAATCCACACCAAATAAGTTATGCTTTTAGCGATTTTCGTCACATTTTCTCTGTTTCGTGAATAAACATTAACATTAAGTAACATAAAGCTACGTGCATGTGCACAGGTGTTGGATGTTGGAATAGAGGGCTTTTTGTATGGTCTTTCTCTGTAAGGACCTCATGGCTTTGGCTGAGCCAGTTGCAGCCTGACAAAGGGCTTCCAGACTTTTTATTGATTTGCATGTCTGCGTTTTTGTGAATACCTTTTGTTTAGCTCGAAGTAAAAGAAAATCAAGTTCGGATTTACCGTATGAAGTGTGGGTGACGTCCTGTCTGTTTCTTTAGTGGTGACCTCACTTTCTCTTAGTGTAAGTGTGCATATGAATGGCTGTGTGTGTGTGTGTGTGTGTGGTGCTTGTATATGCGTTATGGCCTTGAGTTGTTAGCTCTGGGTGCTGTCAGTTAATTGACTTTGGTTGCAGATCACTGGGCTATGGCAGCCATGTGTGTGCGTGCACATATAAGCCAGTGTCTCTTCATGTGTGTCTGCTGTGAGTCATTGATCAAATATTTTTGCTCGCTGAGATTCGGAGCACTCCCCTTGAAGAGGCCTCCAGACCCAGCATTAGTCCCTCCCCGGAGAGTAAAGCGGGCTCCTGAGTGGTCAGCCTCTGCGGCGGACTTGGCATTTTACCGCTGTGGCCCCTCCTTTCAGACGCTTGAATTTGCCATGACTCAAATCTTTTTCTGTTTTTGAGATGCGACTCCATGCTCCAATAAACAAAAGACACAATGTTGGTGAATCCATGTATGAAAAACATCACCTGACAGCTAATGTGTGGAAAGTCCAGAATGTTAAAGCCGCTGGATTCTTTTTAGTTTACAAAGAAGGTCATAAATCTATATCATAGCCCTCTTTTTTTTTAAACCGTACGACTGCTCAAGACAAATGCATTCGCAGGATGTGTGGAAACAACTTATTTGACCAACTATGCAATGCTCCCCACCCCCCATCACCACCACCACTGAAAGGCTGAATTTGTCCTACTGGATATCAGTCTGGCCAGTTGCCGCCTTTACAGTGATGAGTAAAAGAAGCGGCTTAAGGAGGACAACAGCAATTTCATGTAATTGTCCACATTGATAAAATAGGCATGTTTTCCCATTTTATTTAAAACCAATTCACAACAGAACTGTTCTGTTCGTCAAATGAAGAGTGTACATTTGCCAGAAAATGACTTTGTCTGTTGCATTTGTTAATTGCAAACTAAAGAACGGGTATGCCCTACAGCAGCGTTATTAAGGCTGGCGGTGGCATCTGTTTTGTGCGTTACTGACATGGCAATACACAGTAACTTACCCACATTGGGAGATAGTGTGCTGCAGGCTCTATCTCTCACATACTATATGTAATTCAAATCTTAATAATATTATAGTATTATTACAATGGTTACTTAAGCTTTTTTTGTTAGGAAGAGGATGTAGAGGATTGATTGCACCATATTCTGAAGGTGCTTTTTGATTGGGGTAAAAGAAGCCTAAAGGGTCTGAACTCTTCATGGTTGTCTTCAGGCCTGTCCTGAGATGCTCTTGTTTTGACAGGAAGCATCATCTTCCTGAAGCAGACGGCCGATGTGTGTAGTTGTATGGTGCGTATAATAATGAAATCAAGGTGAATGTCAGGGACTTAGTTTCCCTCCAGAATCTCCCTTTTTTCCTTTTTTTTTTTTTTTTACCAGATCTGTGTAATCCCCCCCCTCCGTCATTGGTTTGAATGTTGTGGGCGATTAAGGGAGATTTTAATAATTCATCGGCCCTGAAGAAAACTCAGTCCATGAGAAACACAATGCAGTATAAGCTGATAAATAGCCCGTCCTGTTAGGAATGGTCTGAGTGCAGTTTCTGATCCATAAAGCCTGACAGAAGAGCAAAAAGTTTTTAATTTTTTTAGTGAATAAAAAGATTGAAGGATAAAAAGGCATTCAGATCAGAAATTTGGAGAGTATGTAAGAAAAATCATCTCATCTTTCCCTCCCTTTATCTTGTACTACTTTGTATCATTGTCCTTTAAAATTATACCTCTCTTATCCTTTTTTTTATTACCAAGTCGTTATGTCATTGCATGGAAGTTGAGGAAAGACAGGTAAAGCATTTACTGACGTTGACAATTTGTTACATTTATGCAAGAAAAACTTGATGATGGACAGATGGTGCATTTGTAGGTGTTTATTTTCTTTAATGGAAAATGCCTAAAATCATCTTTTAGGCTATGTAGGCTGAGTTTAGCGGAGCTGGAACTTTATTTTCAGAGACGTTTAACTTCTCGGCAGCAGAATGAGAGCTGATGACTCTCGGCTTGTGATGCACAAAGCAAAACATGCACATTTGAAAAATTCAACAGCAGCATCTTACTCATGAAAATCCACTCAGGTTGATGATTTCCTCTTCACAGACAAATGTATGACATGTCGTGCGAATACAACTGTGCAAACCGATGACTTGTTGAGTTAGTTAGCAGGCTCTTAAATGAATAGTGATAATAAGGACTGTGGCTTCTCCAACATAGATTCACTTCTATAATTCCAGAATCGTACATTAAACAATCAGTTGCTGTGGGTGATAGAGACTCACTCATTGGTAATCTTGGTTTTTGGTCCAATGGCATTGAATTACTTCCCTGTAATGTACAGTTCCACCAAAGTATTGATCCTGAGTAAATTTTCCTCATAAAAGTGTTTTTCCTTGAAGATCATCTGGCTTAAATAGCCAAATTAAACTTAAACACAGTCTGTCAATACTATAGAGTGCAGAAATTTTCTCAATAGTTTTTTGTAATGGTTTGTTTGTATTGTGAATCTGTTTGTACTTTCTGGAGTCTGTATGGTCGTCGCAGGGACTGAACTCACAGCACTATTTGGTTAGCGCCTCCTTCATAGCGATTTAGCCCTTTGGTAAAAATTTTGTCCGCTGGAACAAGCGCACAACATGCAAACAGCTAATCCGTCTTGGGGACAAACCCGAGAGGAAAAGCTTCACCGACTGCAGATAGGAGTTAAAAGCCCCATTGTAACCCAAATGCAAACAACACAAAAATATTCAGCATTGCCTTGTTTGACTGTGCTCTTCTTGTCCTTGCTCTCGTCTGGAATGTGATGTGAATTTAGAAAAAAGAAAAAAGTAACTTGAGTGAGGTGAAACTTATTCAATACCGCAAAAGTTTGATCTGCCACAAATGTGAGGAATTACTGAAGATAGGGGCTGTCAAAGCATCCCTGGTGATGCGTTGATCTTTTTGTATTTTTTTCTGAGGGATGATAAAAGCTGTTTAAGGAGAGCTGGGCTGTTGGGGTAAGCAGTACAGAAAATAGTAAGGCTGCAGAGTTTTACATAACGGTATTGATTTTATATTGGCAGCTTTAATGGGAGCTGTGAGTAAACTGTCATTTCCTCGCAGATCGCCGTTGTTTAATGGGCAAACAAGTTTCTCTGTCCTCTCTGCGCCTGCTCATCCACCGCATTTATAAATCTACGTAGCCTAGAAGTAGTCAGTTTGTTAAGGAGTCGGCTGTGCTCTCCTCACCACCTCGTCTCCCCCTCAGGCCTGCTCTTCCCTCTCCTTTACCTTCCTCTCCAAGTCTCAGCTCAGTAAGGCGACCCATTCATCAATAATTGATAATTGGCCAGGACAGGTGAGATGGAGAGGCAATTTGTTGAGAGTATGGTGCGGGTGCTTTGCCAGGAGATTGACTCAAGGGAGGAGAGGAGAAGGACTGAGGTTGGGGAGTTTGCTGCTCAAGGACTCGCAGTCAGGGGCCAGCTGGAAAGGCCAGCTTGGAGATGGATCACTACATTATCCTGCTGGTGTGTCTGCATTACACCACAGATGTGAGCATAAAGAAGAAGAGTGGGTCCTAATGTATGTGCTGTCAACCGAGAGACTCTCACTTTATGTCACGTTTATACCACCTTGCAAGACAAAGTTACTATCATTGTTTGAGAAGGAAAAACTTTGTAGTTTTCATCTATAGTTTTTGATAGAATTGGATCTCTTTTTTTTTTAAATTAGGGTTTCACTCTGAATTCATTGACAGAGAACCGGGTTGTCTGAATTATTCTCATATAACAATAGCTATCTTTATGTAGGCCTCTCTCATTAAATGCTTATTCAGAAATTCATGTGTATTTTCAGGCTGACTTTCCCATTAAAGATTAGCCTTATTGAACATTAAGTAAAAAGGTGGTTGTTGATGAGCTGTCGTCTGATGCCTGTTAGCTTCTCCGGTTGAGATCCAGTCCCTCCTATTTCCTTTTGGTGTCAGATACACTACAGGTTGTACATGAAATAAACTAGATGTTGTGGAAAGGCTGAATTAGTTGGGTGTTTTTTTGTGTCAGTTTGGCAAATGAGGAATCGATTTATCAGGTTTACAATGTAAACCTGATAAATCGAACTTTACATGTACTTTAATCATGATAGTAGAAGGGGATGCCTTAAAAAGCAGAATGCTCGACCCTGATGACCAGTTTTAATAGTGTTTTAATATCCATCAAAATTCATTAAACAAGGATTTTCTAGATGATTTTTAACTCTTTCCGTCATCAAATTCCGCAGCGGCTCAGGAATGGTAACCTAAATGCTTCTCAACAGCACCACACATTAAGCAATTTCCCTAATTTTACCAACATTCCCTTATCAAATTCCCTGGGATAACATCTATGCTCTATTTTGTGCAGTTCACAGTCAGACAGAGCAAGGTGAGGAAGGAAAGGCATGTGCTCACACCCATGGTTTTGCTCTGGTGACAAAGAATTTACCAGAACGCAGCCTAGATTGGTTTGACACTTCATCACATCTAACCGGAAAAAAAACTAAGGAAGGCAATCGATGAGATCTGGGGTCTTTAACTAAACAGAAAACGATAAGTCATAAAGTCTTCAAAATTTACTTTATCTCCGCATTTTCTTTCTTTCTTTCTTTTTCTGCAGTGTGACCTTTTTAAACTAGTCTTCCAGGGTTTGGGAACGTGATGTATACCTAAGTCTTTCCCAAGCTTATCTTATTAGCAAATCCGCTGGCACACAACCACACATTTCATGCCAGTTTGTTGTAATCTCAAATACTTCCAGGAATCTCTCGGCGTCAGTGTCCTTTTCTCTTCACGACAAAGGCACACGAGGATGATGGACCGCTGAAGTCCCGAAGTCTTTTGGGTGGTCAGGGCAGATGTTTGTTTTCCAAAACTATGTTTCCAAGTTTATTTACTGATGCATGGCACTAAGGTAACAGCAGTAAATTGCAGTGACGCCACCCACCACAACAGTTAAGTTCTCCAACTGTGCGAAACACTCAGGAGAACTATGAGCACAATTAAGAGGAAATATAGTTGCATAAGACGCAGTTACTGGTTTAATTTGGTAACCGCACATTTACTATTAGCCCTGATAATCTGGCTTTCTGGATGCCTTTGTGTTCAGTAGCTGTAGGCGCCCAGTGGGAGTTTTTGATAGGCATGTGTGCACAGTAACCGTTTTTCTTTTAATTTTTCTTTTTTAGATGCACTTCTTGCTTTTTACATACAGTTTAACGACAAACCTGGGCCTGGGCGAGAGATGAAAACTTGTTTGATTCTACACCCTCACGTCTGTTCTGTTGTTTGTTCTGTTCCGAATCACCTGGTTCTTTCATAATGTATAGAAGTTGTACAGTTGCTTCAGAGTGCATGTAAAAGTCCATTCGCACAATGTTTAGAAATGGTCCTGTTTCAGTCATGTTCCACATGCCTCTCCCTGTTTACTCTTTTAGTCCTCGTGTATAGAGCTTCATCTGGGATTTGCGACTTTTACATGGAAGAGGAGTGAGGTGTTTGTGTGTGTGTGTCTGTGTGTGTGTGTGTCTGTGTGCGCTGCTCTGCCAGGGCATTGATAGTGAGTCTGCTGGGTGCTGAGTGCTGGGCTGAGTGAGGGAGCGAAGGAGTACTTATTGATTTTGGCCACACATCTCTTCTGAAAATCCCTTGATTGCTTTTGTTCTGCTCCCTGTCTCCCTCTCTGTGTCTCGGTTCCTCTAATGAAACTCCATATGAATTGGAGCACGTACTGACTGCTCTCCAGCTCTTCGTTTCACTTCTTCTCTCCCAGGCTTCTTTGCTCCTCCCTGTTCTACCTGTCTCACTGCACAGTTCTCAACATCCCTCCCTTTTCATTTTCATTTCCCAATGTTTTTATTCCTATCTATCCTCCTCATGCTCCCCTTTCTTTGTTTTGCTGCTGTTGCACCTTCTCCACCTTTTTGTATTTTTCATTTCAATTTCTTTTAACTTTTGTTCTCCCTTTCCATCTATATCACCCATACTCTTATACTTCTTACTCCCCATCCACAGATGTGAAGTTTGCAGTGGAGAATCTGTCTTCTTGCGGCGCTAATTTTGCTCTAAAAAGAATGACTAGGATGCATTACCATCTCAAATGGGCTTCCTTCCCTTCGACAGTCACTCTGTCATTATAGTTCGGCCCCCACAAGAACTGTGTTTGCATTGTGGTGCTCAGGGATTTTTATTTTAATAAAAGATGCCACACAGGAAGAACCATCATAGTCTAATTTGAGGCACTTTGGGCCCAAGTGGAAGATTAGAGGAATACATAGGCTGTTTTAACATGAAACTGGCACTTTATGTACCAATCACAAGATGCATTACTCCTTGAAAAGTAATTTATTTTGTAGCAATTCAGAAGATTTACTTGAACTAAGAGACCAACAAAACAAAAAAAAACAACTCTCAATGCTTTATTATAGTATCAGACCCGCATTAGATGGAGAATAAATGTAGGGTGAACAATTTAACTAGCACAAATTTCAGAATGTTGCCTCTATAACTGAAACCTCATTCTTCTATTCTGTTCTCAATCTTTTATTTTGGTTCCTAAATTACACAAATCATCTAAATACTTACTGCCTTACTTTTAAGAATTAAAGCGATTAAGGCTGAGAAAGCTGATTGTGAAAGCTGGTCCACACACATAATGAATAAAGGCTGGTGGAAATGATTTATTCACAAATGACTTAATCTGTGAGTTTCCTAAAATGCTGGTTGCACTCTTTCTGTATATTTGTTGTTAATATCAAAGCAAGGAAACTGTAATATTCAGGGTGCTGCTTATTTTAGATTTTAAGGTGAAGAACTTTGCATTCATTCAGAGAAAATAATCTGTTGGATTAATGTGAATTGCCTCTGCTCAGTGCGTACTTGACATTCCCGTCTTTGGATGCTTCACTGTTGCACCTCATTAAGTTTTCATCCTTTTTTTTCTTTTTTCCCCTTTTTTTTCCAGATTTCCGCTCGTTCAACCAAGACGGTTCGTACCTACAGCAGCTCACACATTTGCATTTTCATGGTTTTCCCTGTGGATGCCATTGTTCCGCCTCATCTCATGTGCGTTTTTGACCTTTTACCCCTTCTTACCTCTTAGGGGAGCTGGAGGAGGAGATGGAGAATCCAGAGATGGCGGATCTCCCTGAGAAACAGAAACACCAGCTCAGACACAGAGAGCTGTTCCTGTCCCGCCAGCTGGAGTCCTTACCCGCCACGCACATCAGGTACACTTCAGTTTAACTTACTGCTAACATAGCATTAAATTATAGCTTTACTTCAAGCCCCCCCCTCCATGGGACTTTTTAACCCTTTTTACGCCCAGTTGTCAAAAACGCAAACACTTGATGTACAGTCTGATTTATATTAGTTCTGCGGGTTAAATTAATCTAAAACAAAATGTTTCCTTTAGTCCATGAGACTGTAAAAAACAGAAAAACGTCTAACTGCGAAGACTACCTAATTTAGGTGCAGATTTGTTATCATCTGAGCACTAAATGTCACCAGAAGGCGGTCTTCTGCATTTAGCTCAACAGTAAGAACGGGCAGACGTACCTAATCGTTACTCTATTATTTGACATTTCTAAATAGTTTCCCGGAAGAGCAAAGTGGCATCTACTGGCATGAAAACGCAGATAAACGTTTGTTTATTGAAAATTAGGGCAGAAGTTCGCCAAATTGCACTTGCCTGAGGTTACAGAGGTGTGACTGATTAGCTGTTAAACGACCTGAATTCAGACTGAAGCAGTTAGATGTGGTAGATGTACGCTGTCAGTCACAGTCGGGCCGTATTCTGGGCATGTTTGAGCATCTCATTAAGATGAGTTCAGGACAGGAAAGCATTTTTTTCCCCTTCAAACTTATTAACAGGAAGTCCTTTCTGTTCAAACTATTTTTTTTTTACAAGTCTCACTTCTTTTCTTCCTCCTTTTCACGTTTCCCCCTCTTCCTGGGTCTGTTTTCTTATTCTTCTCCTTTCCCCCTTACATCCTCTCTGGACTTCAGAGGAAAGTGCTGCGTGACGCTGCTCAACGAGACGGAAGCCCTGAAGTCGTATCTGGACAGAGAGGTATGCGTGCACACCGCTGCAGCATCAAGGACTTCATTACCTAGGTGTTAGTTTTTAGGACTGTGGATGAGTTGAGTCTTAAGAGTTTAAAGATTCTTGTTTCGAGATTAATTATTGAACATGTTGACCCAGAATGTTCTCTCCACGTACACTAATGAGGAGACGAGAGACTAGCGGAGAGGAAAACGCACACACACGTGCACACGGAGAGACAGATGCACCCCTCTCTGCTTCCCTCTCGCTTCCTCTTCCTCCATTCCATCCTCACGCCTTCCTGCCATCTGTATTTCCCAGGATGCCTTCTTCTACTCATTGGTGTATGACCCCCAGCAAAAGACCCTGCTGGCTGATAAGGGGGAGATCCGCGTCGGGAACAAATATCAGGCCGACATCACCGACCTCCTGAAAGAAGGTACAGCTTATAAAACCTGGACTGTCCAACTTGCCACAGCCCCTCCCCCACCCTCCAATGCAGCGGCTCCGCTTTATCATTAGTCTGATGTTAACTACTCCAGTCGATGAAATATCTTGCCCCAAGCTACTGTTAACGGGTAACGTTGAAGAACTAAACTACGTTTCCATGGCGATGAAAGTTTTGCCACACGATTACAAAAAATATAAACTGTTTCAATTGGAGCTTATGGCTGTGCTGTGCCATTCAGGTGAGGACATGTGGTACCCTTCACAGAGAGAAGCGTATTTTTTTGTGTCTCTTTTATTATTTTATTTTTTTGGTGCATCCTTCACATGTCAGATACCAACAAAGGTCCTTTTTTCTTTTTTAGAGCAGAGATTGACAGTTTTTCTGACAGCTGATTATTAAACCCATATGATGATTAATACCTGACAGAATTGTCTAGACATTACAAGGGAGTTCTGCGTTTTTGACCTTTCAACATGTCCAGGATATTGAAATGCATAACAATTTTCAATTCAGCTGTCTGGAAGAACATTTTCCGGGCTTTTGTGCCAAGATAATCATTTTCAAATGTGACTATTTCTCTGCCAAATTTTGGGTACAGTGTTTTGCCAGAGTTTTATTCTTAGCAACCTCTGAAATTGCAATTAAAGCACTGTGGGACACTAAGCTCTCTAATTAAACCCATGTTAATGAAATTCTTCTACATGTGCTAGAGGCTGGTTTGTTACAGGCTGGAAGCTTGGCAGAAAACCGGGATTCTTTAAAGCTTTAAATTAAGCATTAGTTTGAAAAAGAACTAGCTGATTGGCAATCCAGTTTGGTTCTGGCTTTCACAGAATCTATATCAGGGCAAAAACCGGTGCATACATGCATCAGTGTCTGATTGTTTTGTGGGTGCATTCAGGTGAGGAGGATAACAGGGACCTGGAAAAACTTGAGGAGAAAATCTGGGACCCCAACAGCTCACTTACAGAGAAACAGATCGACCAGTTCCTGGTGGTTGCTCGGTAAGTCCATGCAAAGAATGACAATTTCAGTAAATTTTCCCAAATAAGTTATTAAAGAAGACAATGTGTGTCAAATTAATTGACCTAAATTCCTGAAAATAGACTTTCAGAGAGTAATCTGGGAAGCTAGATGCCATTCTTTAATTGTGATCACCAAACCTTAAGCCACGAAGATGGTTAGTAAGTTTTTAATGACTATCAGACCAATTTTTAAAAATGTTCCTGTATAATTGGCTTAAAGTTTAGCTGTAATTTTAAGAAACTCTTAATAAGATTAACTCTATCTCTAACTCCAACAGAAAATGCAAATATTGACTGAAATAATTTAGATACCTCACAGTTTTTCCCAACAATTGTTCATGTCTTTTTAAATCTGGCTATGGGTTCTTAGCAGCTTTAGCTTGTGCAGCGACTCGGCTGGAGATGTATTAACTGCCTGGCCGGACTATTGAATTAGATGGTTATCGGATCCCGGACTTAGGAGTTTGCTCATTTAGCTTGAAATTGTTTCTGCCTAAATGACTCTGAGATAAAACTTCAGGTTTAATTCTATCACTCACTGGATATAATAATGCATGTTTCTAGTCTGCCCCCCCTCCTCCTGGCGTTTGTCACCACATCTCATGTCTCACAGGTCAGTGGGTACATTTGCCAGAGCTTTGGACTGCAGCAGTTCTGTTCGGCAGCCAAGCCTCCACATGAGTGCTGCTGCGGCCTCCAGAGACATCACCTTGGTGAGATATACATCAATGTGTGCTTTGTTGTATTGGCGTCTCCCCCATATGTGAAGTATTGTGGACTGTTGATCAAAGAAAATCCATTTTACCCCAGTTCTTATCTTTAAATATAAAACATGGACGACCCGCGCCTTGGAGGCGTCTGCATAAACGCACCCTGACACAGCCCAAAGCCTTAGACATGACGCGCAGCCTAACACATGAAACACCGTTTATCTAAAGATGTTAGCTGAGCATTGTGTATATTAAGTTAAAGAAAATCCTGTCATTGTATCTAACTCCAACACACATTTTTTTTATCAGTTTCACGCTATGGACACCCTCCATGCCACAGGCTATGACATGACTCGAGCCATCGCAGCGCTGGTGCCTCAGGGCGGGCCCGTTCTCTGCAGGGATGAAATGGAGGAGTGGAGTGCCTCAGAGGCCAACTTGTTTGAAGAGGCGCTTGAGAAATATGGCAAAGACTTCACTGATATCCAGCAGGACTTTGTGAGTGGCATGCCAACCAGAACTGCACTCGAAGATGTGGTTTTAAATTCGGGGAAATCCTCATTTATTTTTAGTGTTTTCCACCACGAGAAACTATTTCTCAAACTGAAGCTGCAAATATGTTTCTTTGTTCATTACGTGTATTTCTGATAGTCCGTATGAGCTGCCTCTGAGCTGATCGCAGGTACCACAGAATCACAGGTGAAGTGTTCACTCAATTGAGGGACGTAATGGATAGTTTTAGGAATCAGAAATGGTTTAGGAAGCGAGCACCACAACCAGCCCCTTCATAAAGATTGAAAGGCATAATAAGAGGATCCTTTGAAGCATTAACATAAGAACAGAATTTTGGTCCAAAGCCAGGAAAAGGCTGCCTATCGGCTGCTCACAGCAGTGCATGTTTATAAGCTGGCACTGTGGTGTGCATTACTCCACCCCCTGGTGGCTGACCTCGGTCATTGCTACTTGTGGTTTTTTTTTCTCTCCTCGTGCTCTTTCTTAAACAACATGACTACACCACCATCATGGGTGGAGCCATGAAGCTGTGTCATCCTCACAGCTTCTTTTTGGGGACCAAATTGAAGTTACCGTACAAAACTTTGAGCCAACCTCAATTCCTCCATATAGTGTCAGAAAAGCACAAAGCAGGTGTGATTACTTATCAGTGTGAGCACAGGAAATGTACGAGTATGAGATAAAGAGTTTGTAGAATTTCTATTTGGTATGAGCATCTTAATACTTCAACACAGCCTCAACTCTCTTAGGCTAGCTTTCTCTGTTTGAGGGTAATTGTGAATAGTTTCCCTGGGCTTCTTGAAGCACACCACAGCGCTTTGGTTAAGCCCTTAACCCGTTTCTTTTCACACTTAAATTTTCCTAGGTTATGTGGCTTAGTAAAAAAAACAAAAAACAATTGTACTATCCATCCATTATCGTTACCGCTTATTCCCTAAATGGGTTGCGGGGAGAACTGGAGCCTATCCCAGTGGTCAATGGATGAGAGGCGGGGTACACCCTGGACAGTCCGCTAGTAAACTTGTACTACTGCACTAAAAATGATTTAGTGTGATTTTTTCCAAAGAAGATATTTTTGAAAGACGTTGTGCAGAGCTACAAATAAGCTCAGTTTTTAAGTCCTGGAGGCTGCTATGAAAATGTTGTTTGATGATAAGAGAATAGCAGGAACAAAGTCCTGAATTTCTTCGTACAGAACTTGACCTTCACCTTTATAAAAAACTGATGTCGTTTAGAATGATGTGAAACAGTTTATTGATCAGGCTAGTTCACTCTAATTTTCTTAATGTGAGTTTTGATTTGCTTCTGTGATGTAACAATCTGAAACATTGACCTTTTCTTTCTCCTGCTCTCCAGCTGCCCTGGAAGTCGCTGACCAGCATAATTGAGTATTACTATATGTGGAAGACCACAGATAGATATGTACAACAGGTAACCACTCATTATACACTCCAAATTTCTTTTTTCTCGTGTTTGGTTTTGATGCCACTTTTGAACATCTTAATCTAAAGCCCTGACACCTGCTTACATCTGAGTCTTAAGTGCAGTTAGGAAGCATTTAGTCTGCTTTCATTCCCATGTCAAATGACTTCTGTTGAATTGATACTTGCTTTTCATTTTAATCCACTCCAGCCTGACTTTGGCTGGTTTCCTCTCAGAAAGCTGCAGCCAGGGCAACAAAAATGAAAATGGTTCTCATTTTCCTGATGGTGGCAGGTCTCAAGTGGAGGCTCTGAAACTTCAACTCCTCGATGGGTAGTCTCTAGACCAACTTCTTAAAAAAGATAACAAAAAACCATCAAAACAGCAGTAGCACTGTTTATTAAACCGGCCTCATTTGATTCTGATCACCACAAACTTGTAGTCCCACTGTTTCATGTTCTCATGGTAACGTATTTCTTGAGAGGTGGGCTGGTAAATTGTTGCTCTTTGTGCTGATGGAAAACTTTTTACTTTCCACGACAGGAAAGGCTTCATCTGGCAGCTTTGTCCGTGTTTTTTCTTCTTTAAAAAAAAATCAGTTCAAAGGTGGAAAAAAAAATTAAATTTGGCTCAAAATATCTGCTTGAGTGTATACATTTTCAGGCTTTTCTCAAAATTTCATGCATGCCATTTTACTTACTCAATGTCATGCTGCAAAAAAGTGACCAGTTTATAAAGATGTGAACCTTTTTCAACCTTTAAACATGACAATCAAAGAAATCTGAAGTTCATTTGCACTTCGGAACTCAAAATCATTGAACTAAAAATGCTTTTATTGTTCACTTTTCAGTTGTATAAGGGCTGGGAGGTAAATAACTTTAATCCTATTGTTCTTTTCCCCTCTGCTCTCTCTCCTCCTCAACTCTTGTCTTTGCTCCAGAAACGATTAAAAGCAGCTGAGGCAGAGAGCAAGCTCAAACAGGTTTACATCCCCAACTAGTGAGTGCTTTGCTGCAAGTTTTGGTGACCTTTTCCTTTATCTATATGAGTGTTCCATCTTCGTTTTCTTCTTTATTTGCAAATTAAGAGGGTTGCAGCAACACCTCCTGTGTAATAAATCTTTATAATTTCCATGGACTGTTAATGACCAAAAAAAACACTCTATCCTTCTTAATTCTGATGACAACCACCATTAAAACATCATAACCTCTCTTTGATGAATATCATCTGTTCTAAGTGAATGTACCCTCAAAGGGTCTGTCTTCTCCTTGGCCGGGCTGAACCCTGTTTCTGTTCTTGTGCCCTTTCAGTAACAAGCCAAACCCGAACCAGCTGAGTAACAATGTAAAGCCAGCTCTTTTAAACGGAGCAGCGAGTGCAGGAGTCCCGGGCCCGCCAGGTTCAGGGCAGACCCCTGGCCTGGGCAGAGCTTGTGAAAGCTGTTACAGTAAGTCGTTCGTTTTTGTAAGATTGTTATCGCTGCGGTTTCATTGCTTATGGAAAATAATCCATAAATAACAGCACGGTTTCATAAGTTAACTGAATCCTGTTGGATTGTATTAGCCAGTTTTAGAGTAATTATTTTGGAATTTATAGTGACAGAAAAATCATAATATACAAATACATTCCCATCTACGAGTCAGTTTACATGGAGATGTATTGTTTCCTTTGCCGCTTCCTGCTTATGAAGCCTCAGAGGCGAAGATCCTTTGAATAAACTGGACAAAGCAACTAACATAGAAACAATTTTGTAACAATATTATTGTTCAAATAGAAATGTTAGATTGGATTTTCAAGTGTCTGAGAAAGTAGGAAGCAGGGCTACTTTTCTTCTAATTTGCTCAGCTTTTAACTGATCTCATTTCTGCTAAAGTCCAACAAAATATTCTGCCAGCCATTCACTATGTATGCAGTACTGAGCTGATGCTGGAAAGAAGAGAATATGCCATTCTTTTGCCCTGCAGCAGAGTATTGTTATATTAATGACTGATGAATGATTCAAGCCTCTACTCTTGTTTGTGTTCATGACGATGTGTGTTCTTATGCTCTTTTTTAACACACATTCTTCATTATACATCTGTGCTTACCCGCGCTCGTTTGTGTGTGTGTGTGTGTGTAGCCAGCAGCTCCTACCAGTGGTACTCATGGGGCCCTCCCAACATGCAGTGTCGGCTTTGTGCTTCCTGCTGGACTTACTGGAAGAAGTATGGAGGGCTCAAGATGCCCACAAGACTGGATGGCGAGAGGCCTGGTCCAAACCGCAACAGCATGGTACAAACTAACACTCAGACAAACACAGGCTTCCTAGACTTCCGAGCCATCTGCGATCCACTCGTATCCCCACACTTGCTGTCTGCCTGAAAGCCTTTTGTTGTCTTAATGCCACTCCTATATGTGTATGTAAATTATGTGAATTGGAACATCATCTATGTAGTACTGTGCATATTTGAGATACTGACAATTATTTTTTTTACTCATGATTACTGATCATTTTCTTCATTTGACTTGGCAGTACAAAAAAGCTAGAATGTTTATCTTGCTCATTTGAACTACTCAAACAGCTTTATATATGATACACACATCCATCTCAGTCCAGTGAATGCCTTAAAAGAATCTTAATATTAAAAAAGTAAAAGACATAAAGAGTAAGCTAAAGTCCCGATTCCAACAGAATATGCTGGAAAAAAACATATCAGTTTTGCGTTGTAATCTTGGATATATCTGACTGTGTAACGCAGGTTAAAACAAAGCAGTTTGTAGTAAGGATGCAGGCGGTTTTGCAGCCCCCTCCTTTAGTTCTTCCATCCTCCGCTCCAAATCTTAAAATGTCCTGTTTAAGGCAGTTAAACGGCTAAATAATAATTTTCAGTCAAATCGTTTTTAATTGAAAGCTTTGTGTTGCAAATTATGTGCCACATATGCTGCTTATTAAGGACACGCATTGGCTGGTGTATCAAATGGATGGAAAACTGTTGGAAGAAATCTAAGGCAATGGTTCAATCTTTCCTCTCAGTGTTAATGAAGTCAAGTAATTGGATGTATTTAGACAATAACAAAAGTATTTCAGATGTTTGGGATCAGTATGGAAATAATCTGACACCTCCGTCATCAGTCAGTGCTCATTAAGCTGTTAGTACACTGTGTGCTAGACAGCTGCTTCTTTGCGGGAGAAGTATAAAGATGTTCTCCTCCTCACACATCCAGAGTCCCCATGGTTTACCCATGCGGCATGGCGGCAGCCCAAAGTTTGCCGTAAAGACCCGCCAGGCCTTCTATCTGCAGACCACCACCCTGACACGGATGGCACGTCGCCTCTGCCAGGACATCATCCGGCCTCGATATCTGGCCAGGCACCCCTACCTCCCTGTGAACACAACAGCCATCAAAGCAGAGTGTGAGGGTCTGACTCCTCTTCCAGCTTCTACAGCAGAAGCTTTCGGCATCTGCTGGCATAAGAATCGCATGAAGTAGCATTTTAAACTTCATAGACCCTTTGAAGTTGTTGAATCTGTTTTTGCCACAGGTGCGCTGCGGTTACCAGAAAAGCCAAAAAAGCCTCTGCCATTGAAACCTGTGGAGCGTAAACCTCTCGAGTCTGTGGTTCGGTACTTGGGTAAGAAGAAACCTATACAATCACGGGCATACACGGCAGGAAAAAACACCATTAGAAGCCACCATTAATAATACAGGATAGTTACTAGACCTAAAAGAATCACTACTGGGATAAGTCAGCATTATTTTACACTCTGCTTTTCCCCCTAGTGAATAAAAATAAGAATTATTTTTTATATATTGTCCTGTTGTCATGCAACGTGGCACTGGGTGCACATCTCACACACTGAAAACGAAGCTGCATCACCTGGCGCTCTGGGGCAGATTCAGGCCCTAAAGTACCCATTGAGATTGCTGGTGTAGCTCACGTTGAGTCAAATGCACGTAGTCTTTAGGATCAGAGCCCTCTGCAGTGCTGCTCTCAGACGATGCAGAGTTTCCCATTGTCGTTTTGCTTTGCAGGCCTCTCTGTGTAACCTCTCTCTGCTCCTCATTTTCAGAAGCACATCCCCGTCCACCCAAACCCGATCCCCCGACCCGAGTCGGAGGCTCCTTCTCTACAGGCAGCTTGACACCCATTAAGTCCTCTCCCATCCTCAACAACGGCTCCCCCACCATCCTGGGCAAGCGCAACTATGAGCAGCACAACGGACTGGATGGTGAGAGACCCATTAACCAGAGAGCAACCATTAGCTGCAAGCCTGTGTGGTATCAAATGGAAGAAAAATACACCGAGATGAAGTCTCCTTCTTTTTTCATTAGTTAAAGTGTATGGAGGGTCAGCTGCTCTCATTGGATCGCTTTTAGATTTTCATCCAGAGAGGTTTTCAAGGGGATGAAAGGTTTTTGTTTTATTTTTTGGGCTATGTCCCACTGCCCCTTTATGATGGGAGAAATGGGTCGAAGCAGACCGAGCTCAACAGAGGCAGAATATACCAGAGAAGACGGTCAGGAGAGGGAGATTGGGAGAGGATCCGATCGGCCTTGCTGCTCTAGCTGGAGGCTACGGTCTATGTTGTCATGGTAACAGCGGAGAGGGGAAGGACGAGGGAGGCTTGGTAAGTGTATCCTGAGGGACAGCGTTTCAGCTGGTCTGTGAGCCCACCTCAGGCCCAGGCTGGGAGAAGGCTTCACAGGGAGATTTGTGTCTCCCCGTCAGCCGGCCCCAGGATTAAAAGTTTAAAAAAAATTCAAAGTTTCTTTTGTTTCTCGGCCATTTCCAATTCACTGACGTATTCAGGTCACTGCAGTTTACCAGAAAACAAAGAATAGATTGAGCTTCTGTTAACAGGTTGAATTTTCAGCTCAAGTTTTGACTATCCCTTGAGATTATGTTGATATGAGCATTTTCGGTGCAGACACATGGACCAATTGGCAGCTGAAGAGCTGCATGTCGAAAATAGAGCTTAAGATTGGAACTCATCAATTGAACAGAAAAATAAATGTGTCACTTCTTCTCATTTCTCAGTAAAATCTAAGCTCCCCTGCTCAGCAGCTCTCCTTTTGTCTCAGTCCCTCCCACCTGAGATGCGAGCAGATGAGAATAAGAGACACAAGGAGGAGAGAGGAACTGAGGCAACAGGCGCTTCAACAGATGTAGCTTTCTTCGTTTTAAGCCAGCATCAATTATACATAACCCGTGGCACAGCCGCAACATCTGGCTGTTGTTTTGTTTGTTGGTCCCACTGAGATATTTTCTGATTTATTAGATAAAATTACTTTGGGCCAGCTTTTCCTTTTTATTTCCTAATTCAAATAGAGGTGTACAGTGTCCTCACCCCTTCTCTTTACCAAGAAGCACATATGTGCCTCACGGATACCAACAACCCTCCTGACTTTATGCATAAAAAAAAAAAAAAAACTGAGACACCCTGGAAGATGATGTGCTAAGGGTCATGTCCAGGTCATAGGCCAGGGAACAGAGCAAAGGGGCGTTAAGGAGGAATCTAACGGAGGAAAGGGAAGAGCTTGATATTGTTGCGTGAATGAGAACAAATTCCCAGCACCAGCCTGTGGGGTATCGTTTGTGTTTGCTGCCCCCAAGTGGCTAAAAAAACCTCTGCTGTTCAGTAACTATCTGCATCATCACCTGTGAAATTCACTTCATCATTTTTCAGCACCTGCTGGATCAAATTAAGAGTAACTAAAAATGATTTTGTCCTTTTATCTTATCAGGACTGAATTTTTTTCTTTTGAACCAACCTTGAATATTTTAGCGAATCGGTAGAAATACAGGTTACAATTTTCTTCTAATTGTGTTGTTTTTATCAGGTGGAGGTGTAGTTGAGGAGGAAAAAGGGAAACACGTTCTTATTCTGTTTAAAGTTTATGTTCAACCATTTGAGTTGTAGTGGTTTGATGCTCCCTGATGAAAATCAGTGAATTTAGGATGGCAAGCTTGGTGTCGGAGTAGCAATACCTGAAAGAATACCAATACCAAATACCAGAAAGAAGGCTGAATGTGAACCTAACAAAGAGTTGATCCTGTGCGAAGCCACCAGGGGGCAGAAGAAGGATTTCCATTGGGTATGTTAAGTATGAACAGATGCTCGCTGCAGACTAAAGGTGTTTGCCGTCTGTCTGGCTCCTTTTCATCTACAGGTACCAAATCTAAAGCCCTGACTCCTCAGTGGGAAATTATGGCCAAACGCGTCAGCGATGCTGGACGAGCCTCGGCCTCGCTGCAGGATGAAGTACATGAACTGGACTGATCTCTCTCTAGGGACGATCTCTACTGCAAACCCCCCCGTGAGGTGAGATGTTCAGGTGTTTCTCTTTCTTCTGTAGAACTGCCGGCCTGTTTGAGGATGAAAAACATGGAATATCAAAAGGCCTCTGAAGGGGAAAATATGTTTCTACATGCATTGCATGCATAAAATCAAAAGAAAAAGGCTGAAGACATAATAGATTTTGCAACTGCAAAATATAATCTGTAAACTAGCATGGTGTGTGCCAATCTGATGGCCACCTATGTTTGAAAAATAACGTTAAAACACAAATATAAGAGGAAAATAGTCTTCAGGTGGAATGTGTGCTTCTAGTTCTAGAACATATAATTAGTGCGAACCATATCTATCCCCTACTCAACATAACAGTTTATTCTAATCAAATCCCATGGTGATGACGTCATTGTGCTGCCCCCCCCCCCCCCCCCCCCAAAAAAAAGGAAAAGACAGACATCGTTTTAAAAAGAGGATGAAAACATTAAACTGCTGGCTGGCTGGTTAATAACAGCTCTCCTTGTGTGTTTCACAGCAGAGGGAGAACTGAAATGGAAAAGGCTTTTTCCACTAAACCATAGCAGAGGGCAGCTCAGACCACAGCATTGGCCACTTTTCTTCAGCACAGGTCTGTCGTGCTGCTGGAGACAAATCAATAACCGATGGGTTTGGCTGGGTTCTATCAGAGGATGAGCCTGGAAGAGACTGTACAGGACTTTGTTAATGACTTCATTTCTTGTTATTACTGTCTTTGTAATTATTGTTATCATAATTCTCTCTTTTTTTTTTTTTCTTCTTTTTTTTTACCAACTATAACTTCGCTTATTGTTTGTCGATCAAACGATGGAACTTGTGAAGTTTCGTGAAAAAATGTTTGCAAAGCCCTGTGGAAAAGGGTGGAAGGAAAGAAATATAAGCCACTTGCATCTTCTGTGTTCTACTTCTTTAAAAAAAAAAGTTCAAGTCAGAAAAGGAGACGCACTTTTATTTCAGCGACATGTGTTGGACTTGTCTTTAGTTTAATCGACTCTGAATGCTTTATGAGTTTGTTTAGTTTTTTTTTCTCTCTCTCTCTCTTTTTTTTGTTTTGTTTGTTTTTTCTTGTTGTGTGAGCCGGCCCTGTTCTTCGGCCAGAGAGGTTTAACTTATTGAGAAAGACTTGGTGTTTTTCTACCTTTTTCACAATTAATGCATCTATGCTTGGATAATGTAATTAAAAAAGATAATTGATTTTTCCCTCTTCTTCTGGTGTCTGTGCACGGAGGCGAAAGGTGTCAAATCTTGCACTGAATGTCCCATTTTCAAGTTGCTGTTGGCCTGTTTTTTTGTTTTTGTTTCGTTTGGGTTTTTTTTGTTTGTTTTTTTCTGACACAGGTATACAAACAGGGTATATGCAAATTAACGGAAACTTTTCATTCCTAATTGCTTTATATGTTACCAGTATTAGAGCAGATTAAATGCACAAACAGTATTTTGTTTTGTAAGCAAACATCTGGAAAAAAAACAACTAAAAAGCAGAAATACATTCTGCTTTCATGTCAAATCGTTTGTCAGTGTGTTTTTTGCTCGCCAATCATTTTGTAAAGAAGTCTGGACGTGGGATGGTGGACATAAGAGACAATGTCTTCTTTTAACAGAAAGTGTTTTTAATACCAATCTTACTGGGGTTTTTTAAAATAATTATCTCACTTAATACATGTTTGAACTAAGCTCATGTTTTGTAGGTATGTCAGAAAGCCTTTTGGAAATGGTCCCTATACCGGCTGCCTCTGGTAAATGATGTTCGAGTATCATTTTAGTTTCAAAAAAGCTTTTCCTCAGATGGGTAACAGAAATATTCTATGTATCTTCTCAGGGCCCTGCTATCCTGACTCACCGAAAATATGTTTTGCCGTCCTCATCTTGCTGTTTAAACATGGAGGGAGTCATAGGAGCTGGAAGCTTTGGCTTCAGATATTGCCACACAAACCAACCACGCAACCTTACAATATCTCCAGTAAGTTTTATACATTTAAAGTACCACAGTCGCTCATTTTATAATGAGTCCAGCAGATAGCTGTTTGGAGAATGAAAAAGGGAATTGAAAGAGAGACTGGTAGCAGTCGCCTGAACAAGTATTGATAAGACTGAAGTACTCCAGTGTTAGATCTACTCAACTTCATGGCCGTGGAGTTTTGACACAGCACCCGGGACTCTGATCTGTAAGTGACAGCTTATCGGCTTTCACTGAAGAAACACTGGTGCAATTCACAGAAGTTGGCAAAGAGCTTTTTTATTTTTAGGTACATGTACAGGAACGAATTACCCCCAAAAGTTTTTCATACTATTTAAGTCCAAATCTCTGCTGGGAAAAAGGTCTAATCAGCTGAAAAAGAAAATTAGAAATGCTTAGATGAGCCAAAAGATCAGTGGAAATCTCCTGATATTGTGGAAAGTTTCACTGTTCCGGGTCATAAGGTGGAATTTGTAGCTGGTGGTGAAAGCTAAGTCGGTTACCCCGCATTACTTCGGGTCTTTAAACCAGTTTCTTTTCTCTATTTACCAAACAAATCTTTAATGAAGAAGATAAATCTGCTGGCTTTAAATCAGCCTGGATCTGCCTTTATCAGTTTGCTCTTTGGCTTTGGGCCTTGGAGATTCCCCTTCATGCTGTCCTCTTTGTGAACAGCAGCCCTCCACAGACTTCAGTGCTGTTCCTGTGCTGCTCACAGTTCCAAACTTTCTTCTGCGACCTTGTTTTCTTTTTTTTGTTGCAATCTTTGGAATCCCTGAGCTGCTAAGATGCTTTTGTCCATTAAAGAAAATGATGCATGTGCGTCTACCGTTCATCTCAGGTTAGTGATGCTACCCAGTTATTCAGCCGACATTACGATGGTAATTTTCTCCATATAACTGAGGGATTTCACTGCTTGGAACAGTTGCCATTATTTTCATATCAAAGCAGGGGTAATGAGTATTTATGCAACATTGCTTTTGTCATTTTGTTTTTAATGGTGCTGGAGAGAGTAAACATATTACTGGATGATAAATCCTTTAACTATATATATAATATCTAATATAATCCTTCACAAGGTGACCTGGGACATGGCCACACACATTCGTCACAGATGTTTATCCAAACAAGCCAACCAAACTGAGCCGATGAACAGTATAATCATCTTGATGAATAAATGTGGCCACTGAACTATTTTGTGGATTTCAAATCCCACTGATTTTCTTCACATCAAGCCAGAATATATTTTGAAAGATGATAGACATGCCGTTACAAAAATCTTAAGCCTCTTTTCTTCTTATTTTCCTACCCAGGAGTCAAAGTTTCCTTAACAACATTTGTGTTTTGTTATTTTGTGTGTTTTTGTCATTATTCGTTAAATTTTCCCAGCTTTTCTTTCCCTTTATTTTAGCTGCATCTATGAACAACACCAAAGACAACATGGTTGAACTAAAGTGATTTTTTGTAAGGATTTAAATTGTGGCATTTCACCATGATGTGCAGTGCACCCCTTAAAAATGAAGGAAAAGAGGGAAAAAAAGGGCACTGGAAAAGTAGATGGGCTCAAAACAACAGAAAAAAAGGGACAAACAAACGCCAAACCCCTGCAGTTCAAATAAGAGCTTTGGCATTTTATTTAATAAATAAATAAAATGACTGGTCAACAGATCTTGTATAGGAGGGTTTGTGGCTGTGCTGAAGAACAGATGTGCACAGATGAGTTTTTGTTTCTTTTTCTGTGTTCTTTTCTTTCAAGTTTACACAAAGCTGCTCTATGTAGGAATAACGCAGGTATATCTACACACCTTAAATGCTGTACGTGTGTGTGTGCTTACTCTTGTTGCATCCATTCCCTGATGTTTAAAGAAATGCGCTTACACTGTGTCGTATGAGGGGAAATCTGCTGGCAGACCTTGAAAAGTTAAGACACCAGAAAGGTCCCGGCAGGAGGGGAGGAACGACAGCAGCTGCTGGGAGCATGTGCGTGTGCCTTCCAGAGAAAGGGAACGGGACCGGGACCTGGACCGGGACTGCGCTGAGTGGCATCGCCCCGCAGAGCCAGCCGCGGCCCTGCCTGGACCTGCGCGCTGCGCCCGGCGAAGAAACGGTTAAGCGGAGCTGCAAGCGGGCTGCGTGAGTCCCGTCTGAGCATGTGCCACCAGTGCAGCCGCTGCTGCAGTCCAGCAGTACATGTGTGCATTTCCATAGCAGATTAGAGACGCCGTGCAGGAGCAGCGCCTGTGGGGGGGGGGGGAGAACGGAGGACGATCAGCAGACGGGTCATCCAGGACACCACCACCGAGGGATGCGCCGCATCCGCCGGCCAGACACCGCAGAGCTCACCCCGGAGGTACAAAATAAAAGAAAGGGGTAACATTTATTTATTTTGATTTGATTTTTCAAAGCCGCACTGGGGATGATTCACGTCTGTCCGTTGGAGTTTTCCGCTCGGAGACGCGAGCCCTGTCAGAAAACCGAAAAAGAGCGTGACAACGCGTCGGAACGTAAATGTTTGTTTTTAAGGGGCGTTTCAGGATCTCCTGTCGCTTTGGGTTAAACGAGAATGTCAGCCTCCTGCTTCACGGGAGCGACCGCGAACAAGTTTTTGTCAGGCACGAAGTGTTCCCCCGCGGACCGGAGGGGAATCCTGGTGCAGCAGATACCGGGGACGTTTCCGGTCACTGCGCCTCTCGTGCACCTGTTCAATACGGAGGGAGGTCAGATGGGCCAACCGGTGTCTTCCTGACAACAAGGGGGGGGGTTTGGAGAGACACTTAGAGCCGCGTTGGAAATTTTTGATAGCGAAACCCCACTCTCCTTCCTCACACACACACACACACACACACACACACACACATGCGCCTCCCCTGCTTGGAGAGGAGGCGTGTGCGGGATAGCCGTGTCGCACTGCTCAGGCTGCTTGATGCTGCGGCTGCGGAGTCCCAGCAGCCGGGCCTGCGCACTGCACCCCCCCCCCCCCCCCCCCCCCCCCCCCCACACACACACACCCCAGGCTTCCTGGGACAGCACAGGATGTCTGGCCAGCCAAAAGAATCGCAGTGGAGAGGCGATTGATTCCCACTTTGCTCTCCACTTGTGCAAACGCGCTCGCCTGTGTTTTGCAGAAACTTCCCATTTCAAACTTGGATTTCTTTAAAAAGACATTTTAAAAAGGAAGAGATCAAACTCAGAACCATGCCATAGAGAGCCTGCTGTCCATCACCATTTGGGGGGGTGAGATAATCCCTATAGCCTATATTCCCCTTCTGTCTATTTATAACTTAGGCAACAGCCTCCACAGCAAGAGATTCCAAAATGACCCCATAACAGAAACGAGGTAGACTGTTTGCTTTCAGAGATCTATCAGAGGTCAACATTTTAAAAAGATTCAATGAAACGTGTGCATATGCAGATTATGGGTACAGACCCTCAATAATCAGTGGCAAATGGTAAAGGTTAAAAAAGATGAATTTAAAATCATTCAAAGCCGTCACATGACCAGTCATGATGTTTCACCCCCAGTTAGTTCATGTTCTGCAAAGTCATTTAGAAAGAAAAGAGTATGACATGCCAGTTCTTTTTCTGGGGAACCTTTAGGGCCACAGCACAGTCAGCATCACTCACGCATTGTCAGTGATTTATTACAGAGCTTCTTTGTCTGACAGACGGTTAGCATTTGTATGCATCCCTACATTAGAGGCATTTTTTCCATGTCAGAGAGATGACTGTCCCAATAAATCTCCTAAATGTCTCTGCGGCTGCTTCAAAATGTCTTATTCGTGGGACTTAAATGCAGTTTCTTATAGTTTTCAATGTGCTCAAGAGCTGTAAAGTGTGTGTGTGTGTGTGTGTTAGTGAGCTTATGGGCGAAGAGAATAGGGCTTTGTGTACTTTCAGATGTATTTATTGGATGATGAGAAGAGAACTAGAGGAGCCAGCTGGCAGGTAGGACACAGGGACGATGAAATAGAGGGAGGAAGAAGAACAGGACATGACTTCCCCTCCTGGATGAGAAAGGATTAGGAGTCAGCATCCAGCTCAGCTCTTTCCGGACACATTTTTCAGTGCAGGAGCCCTCGCTCTAACTTCAAGGTCACCATAACCGTGAGTGATATGTGCGTTTTCATATCAAATATTGTTCGTTGACGCAGCCTGCGTGTTGTTCAGAGAGTGAGGAAATCCCAGCAGGACATTGGCGAGAAAGGCCTGGGGGTTTTGAACTCCCCTCTCAAGCTCTCCAGTTTCATTCTTGACGCTCCTCTGCTATTTCTGTCACTTTTCACGAGCACAGCTCCGCAAATGTTTTCCGACCAAGTGCGTGACCGCCTGGAAGGAGGGCGTTCGCTTTCGGTCTCCGGCCTGATGGCACAACGCGCTGCGTGGCTTGGATGGGAATCTGTGTGGGGCTTTATCATTTTCATTTTTTAGCAACTTGCCTGGTTGGACTGAAACCAAAGACTGCGATGACGTGACTGTCTTAAATCGCTAAGCTTTCGTGCCACTCTTGGATAAACTATTTAGAATGTAAATACCACGCTAAGCCTTGCAGATAAGATGTTTTAATTAAGAGAAGCGGAGGGGGGGGGGAGTGTCATTTGAGGGAGCCTTCTAGTCCTATTATCCCACTGCAGAGTCAGTATGTGTGATGGTGTGTCACTGAAAAATATATTGCCTTACTTTTTCTCCCGCATGTCAATGGGTAAGAAGCCTCTTCTACACTTGACAAGGAGACACAAGCCTCCGAAGGTTTCGGATTTGATTTCCTCCAAATCAATACAGCCTTTTGGATATGAAACCCTCAGAGAGCTGCTCCTACCTCTCTGTTTATCTGGATCCCTCCTCCCCCACCGTTGTGCTCGTCTTGTTAAGCCTTTGTCTTGCAGAAAGGATGCCCACTAAAGTTCTGAGACTTTAAGGGTTGTTCTGCCTCCAGGCTTTTAGTGTCAGCCCTCATGGATTATTTCCAGCTCCATCAGACCCACTACTTGTTTGTGATGCCAGCTATTTTTCGCTTGACACTGTGGGATATCTTAAATTAAGCTGGTAGTGGGCGAGGAAACATGTTTCATGTTGAAGACACTTTTCTTACCGATAAAGCCTGATCAAAGAGACAAATGTGCAGATAGATGGCCTGTTTGCACATTTGAAGAGTGGGCTGTTAGAGCAGAGAAAGAAAGGGTAGCCTCATATTCTGTAAACTGAACAAGTTGTACAGAGTTTAAGTTAGGGCAATGGGTTTGATTTAACTAACAGTTCTTTATATATGAATCTAATTTTCCAGACTGTTCTCAATTTGACTGAATGCCAAATGAAAGTTTTCTCCATTAATATAAATCAATGATTTGTAATGCTTAACAAAGAAGCATGGTAGTTGTAGTGATCTGCCCATTAAGAAGAGGCCTGTTGGAACTACAAACTGAACAGTTTGCTCTTAAGTGGTATTAAGTGGTATTGCTGGTCAAACTTGCAGTGTTGGAAATAATCAGCCCATGTTTGCAATTGATCGGGATCACTTTATTTTGTGCCGCTCCATCTCTGCTTCTCATCGACACGCCTCTCCTCAATGCCTCAATCACTTGCTCATCCAGCACACAAAGGAACCAATTCCTTCGGGATCAGTGAGTGGAGACTTAAAAAGCTACAGCACTGCTAAATAAAATCAATAAGGTTACCTCTGCATTAATTCAAAGCTTAAACCTGCCTTTGTTCTTTGCTAAATTATTTATTTTCTACATTGACTGGATATTTCATAATGCAGGGTGCATAGATGTAGGCTGTAAATCTACTGGAGAATATATTTTGCAGGATACCTACGAGTGCATGTTTCTTGCTTATGTGTGTTTCAGTCACTGGATATGAGGGGATGCTGTGGTCACCTTGGTCAGTGGCTTTGAGCTGCGTTTGATACTGCTGCTTTTTTTTCCCCCTATATGCTACACTGCAGCCTCCCAATGTGACCTTCCTAAAGTCTGCAGGAGCCAGGGCTTGTTGCCACACACCCAGACGTAGCCACATAAAGGAGAACGACGTAGTATGCTGAAGTCCTTGGCGTTTTAGGTGTTGACAATAACCATCATTTTAGTGTTTTCTTTTCTTTTTAACCTCACCTCACTCCTGACTCTGTTTTCATCACTCTTCTCCTTGTCTGCCTGGTGTCTGGTTGTCACCACCAGAGCCCTGGAAAGCTCCATCCCTCACACTCGCTCTATACCTGTCTGTTTCATTTGAAAAGAACAAAGTCAGCGTCTGCTTGCTGTGTCCACAGAAAAACCTCGGATGCTCTGTGTGGATGGGCTCCCTCCTCTAACAGCTTGGAGGGCAGCCTGCCCGCTTTGCGTCTCCAAGTCGTCATCTTGAGGTTCTCTGTGCAGACGGCGCTCTCAGGCCTTCTGTTCTGATCGCCAACTGTTCAGCTCTGGTTGAGTAGACTGTAGTGGGGAAGCAGGAGCTGGCAGGAGCCATGCTGATCAATACTCTGGATTGATGAGAGAGCCGGTGGGGTGTTGGGGGATATCCTTCAACAGCTGCAACAGCAGCAGAATAGAACACATTGCTGTGTGTGTGAACCGTGTGACATTGAGGAAACAAATCAATAGACTTGAATAAATTAGATTAAGTGTCTTGTCATCTTAGACTTTTGAGCTCCTGTCCCTTTTTTTTCTCTTCCTATTTTTCCCTCTGTGTTACTAGAAAAAACATATGTGATCATTATCAATGTCATGACCACTATCGATCCATTAATTAACTGTTGGCTCATTTATGCCTGCTTAAAAACCCTGAAATGTGATTTTTAAAAGGGGAAACACAATAAGGGTCAGATTATAATGTCAAGCATATTTTGGAGTAAAAGGGTGAATTTCTTAGTTGTAATTCAAAATCAAATGCCAATTTTTTCAAAGGACTTTGATATTAAGCACAAAAGTGCAGATGAGGTTAGATATGATTTTATCAATATTGAACTTGCGTGACAGCATAAAGGTTCCCAGTCTGAATGACTTGTGTTTTCAGATTCTCCGCAAGTGCAATAGGGTGATTAGTGGTTATAAGTCAGCTGCAGGAGTTTTGACACACGATGTTAACCATAGCTTGATGGAACACCACTAAAAGCAAAGGGGCAGAAATTAAGAGTGAGCCCACCTCCTCAGGAGAACCGCTGCACTGCGACCGTTTAATTATATGATAAGACTCAGTGTGAATGGGTATTTCTCATTAGCCCTGTTACAGAGAGCGAAAGTGGGTCTGGCCAGTTTTTACACATTTCAGTAGCTTTTTGTCATGGGAATCACATGTAGCTTGCACAAGCAACACTGAGCACCCCCGCCCTCCTTAGTCACATCATACAATCACGACTAAATCCATCATGTGCTCCAGCAGTGAAATCCAATTTGATGCATGCACTTAATCTCTTTTCCGTGGTTGGTTCTGACAGCGTTATCTTGGGTCTCCTGGCTGCATCTCCCCTTTGTTGAAAATGAAAGCGTGCTGAATTCTAGCTGTTGGTGCATGATGTGCTATTGTCAAGCTAAATGGTATGGTCCGGCGCTCCAGGGCAGCCGGAGACAGGAATGTGACTCACAAAGGACAGTGTGGGAAAAAGTGAGTCAGACGCGCGTACCGTAGTCTCCAGTTCACGTGCTTTTTAAGTATTGCTACAGGAGTTGAATCTTTTTGACCCAGAAATTCAATGAGGAGAAGGTAATCGACCACCGTTTCCCCATCTGGAGTTACAAGCGCCTTTTTTTTTTTTTTTATATAGCAAGCCTTTCAAATTCAAGATGTCTCTATTTAAACACCAGTTTATTGTGCTTTTCCATCAAAGATGAAAGCAGCTACATCTTGTAAGATTCCAGACAGAACACAAAAACGCTGGTCTTTGTCGTACCTCACCAGGACTCTCTTCTTCCACCCCCGAGCATATCTGGTGCTTTTGGCAGGAGGCTGAGTGTTAGACAGCTTGATATTACAATAAAACTCCTATTCATTTGGAGATTTGTGGGCGTTTGGCTGCTGAATAAATGGTGTTAAGATAAAAAAGAAATGAGGGGGAAAAAAGAACAAAGCCATGTGACTCCTGGGTGAAAAGGTGGAGTGGGGTGGCACAAAGAACACAGCGTAGTGGTCAAGGGGTACTTTGATCCATCACATCAGTGGTTAGTTACATTTAAAAAGTACTCTTTGTTCATTTCTGTGCAAAACTTTTTGATGTGGTGGTAATTTCCCATTTTATAGTGTATTACTACAGTATGTAGCCACTGGCTCGATTAGGTTTGGTGTAATCTTACAATATCAGGGTATGAAAAGCTTTTATATACATTTTTCTTTTTAGAAATGACTAATCTCCCGAATCACAGTTTAATAAAACTGAATACCCCTGTTAATCCACACAGATTCAGGAAAGATCTTTACTAATCAGAATTACATTACAAAAGGCTTTGTTCAGTTCAGGATGTCGAGGCCCTTTCTAATTTAAATGGAGACTCCACTTGTACAAGTGGATTATAAAAATACTGGAACAGTCACAGACTGGACATCACATGGCAGATCGTGTGAGGTATGCTAGCTATCATACAGAGGCTTTATTAAAACAAAGCAATAACTTCCACGACGGATCCACAACTGCAGACTGCAGCAGCCCGAACACTTTTTTATGCTGTTTGTCAGTTCAGCCTTCTTATCTCTCGAAAGGCCATCTTATGTTGATAGATTATAGTGGAGAGGATCGATACTACTCTTGTGTGTGAATAGTAAATGAAAGGCTTTAGCCAGAAACCATTTAGCTGCTAAATGGACTGAATTTAGCAGCAGTTTTCAAGATTTGTTGCCCCCCTAAAAAGGATTTATGATAAAAGTCCTAAGTCACCTATTCAAATAACACTTTAATGGTATACATGTGACCAAAGGGCTATTCTGCATGTGGAAACTGAACAGCTTACTTTTCTGCAGGTGGTTGACTACTTTGCACAATAAGCCGCATGCACCATTATTCAGCAGATTTCAGCTGAGCTTAAAAAGCAAAGAAACCAAATCCGAAGGATTTTTGCATAGAGAAATTACTTGAATCAAGAGTGAGTTGACCATGCTTTTCTGTAACAGGTGTTGAAATGGAGCAATTCTCTTTACATTGTAACAAGTTTGGGAATTATTCTCACAGTATTTAAACAATACCGTTCGGCCCAGTATTACTTTGATAGAGGAGAAGAGTTTCCCCTGAAGCCTGTGCATAGATGGACTAAAGGGTTTAGAGAGGTCAGTTGGTCCATTCGCTGTGGCCCAGTTCCACACATGAAACTCTTGTTTCTTGTTTGGCATAAATGTGCTAATCCCCATGGACTCTCACTGGGCCCCAGCCAACGTTTGAAGACAATTACAGAGCCAAAAAAAAAAAAACATCAGCTTTTGTTCTTCAAACAAGCTTTTGTACTTGTCACCTCTCTCTGAGTTGGTATTTTACAGAGCAGTTATGATCTATTATATAGTTGTTACAAATCTGAGACACAGCTTCCTCTGGAAGCATTGTGTAGTAGAAGATATATATATATATATATTTACTTTGTAGTCTTCTAAAGAATGTAGTATTTGAACTTGGAGCAAAGCTGTTTGTCTTTAGTGTTTTCAAATGGAAATGCAGTGCAGTAAATAGAGCAGCGGAAGGATCGAACCCTGTGTGGGCCTTCAGATACCTGATACCACACAGAGTGTGTGTGTGGAGCTGCAGGACCTGGAAAAAGAGCACATGATGTAGGCAGTCAGATGACAAAGCTATACCTTACATAAGAAACCCCCTCACTTAGTCGGTAAACAGCATCGACTGGGGGATGGCCACGGAGTTTAAGTGCTTTGTTGCTTTAATCTTTCTTTGATGTCACTAGGGTTTTATTGCCTCGCCCTTAATTTAACTTCGGCTCCGTCAAACTACGGCTTAACCATGTGCAATTAAATGTGTAATCCTTAAGATTTGACTTCCTGCAGACTTGGCCAGAATGCTAGCAGGAGAAAACGGCTTCAGTTCAACACTGGACGCCCCAGAACCTCTGAGCAACTACTTTATTTATTCTTCACAGTTTTAAAGTAAAGACTGAATGCACTAATCCCCCCCTTATCTTTTTACATAGTCATATGACATATTACTTTGGGTAAACTGCTTCTTCTATCATATCCATTGGTGCAAGACCAGATATTGGGCTGCATTGGTCAGATTGAACCGTAAGCACCAGAATTATGAGTTTACAATAGCTAACATCTTTTTCTCTGTTTTTTTCCTTAGATCTACATCTTCTTACTATAGTCAAACAACTAGTCTAAAAGCCAGAGGGGGAATGATGGTGAGCTCGGAAGCCTCGGAGACGCCCGTTCCTCTCACCGCGCTGTCGCGCTGGTACCTTTATGCCATTCACGGTTACTTCTGTGAAGTGATGTTCACCGCCGCCTGGGAGTTTGTGGTCAACTGTAACTGGAAGTTCCCGGGCGTGACCAGCGTGTGGGCCCTCTTCATCTACGGCACCTGCATCCTCATCGTGGAGCGGATGTACCTGTGGCTGCGCGGGCGCTGCCCCGTGCTGCTGCGCTGCACCATCTACACGCTGTGGACGTACCTGTGGGAGTTCGGCACGGGGCTGCTGCTGCGCCAGTTCAACGCCTGCCCGTGGGACTACTCCCAGTTCCGCTACAACTTCATGGGGCTGATCACGGCCGAGTACGCCGTGCCGTGGTTCTGCGCCTCCTTCATCGTGGAGCGTTGGGTGATCAGCAAAACCCTGCGGCTGCGCTTCCACCAAGGGCCCGAGGACGGATGGTCAAGCCACCGCTCAGGCGCTGGGGGCGGAGGAGGTGCTGGGGGAACTTTGGGGGGCGTCGGGCCAAGAGAAAGGAGCAGAGGCACGGGCAGCAGCGCCAACGGCTACCTTAAAGGAGAATGAGTCACGGAAAAAGGCGCTATCTTTAATCAATCCGCAACTAGCTCCTTCCCTCTGTTACAGCTCCTTGGCCGTCCTTGGCTACTTTTCATATGCAATACTCCCACTTATTGGCATGGGGCGGAGACAAAAATCAGGAAGACTTGGCTGCTGTGAAGAGAGGCTAAGAGTATCAGCCAGTAAACAAATGTCTGACTGGGCTTCGACTTCCCAGATCGGTTGTGTTTAAATGTTGTCCTCCACTGTTGAATCAGGGGCTCAGTGCACTCATGACGCTGCTTTTACTTTATGACATAAAACACTCACTCATTTCAATGTGGGGTTGACCTTAAGAAGATCAGGACACTGAATGACCAGGATTAAACTTTAAATCGCTCCTGCCCTTCCCCCCAAACGTCAAAGACTTTGGGATATAAAAGAAGGAAAAAAAAGATTAATGTCATTGTTCTGTAAAGGGACTGATTCAATAGAGATAGAATTTTTTTTCAAAGGCACATCAGTTTTTAGAAGAGCTGAATCATCAGAATACATTATGGATCCCCAGGCGGTAACATTCTTATTACAGCTGCAGCCATTCAAAGTGACAAAACATAAGAACAATAATTAAACTAAGAACATAAAAAGAGAAATATAGAAATATGTAGCAAGCAGTGTGAATTAATAAAAATCCTCATATGAAATAGCCCCAGAGAAAAATTGTTGGCATTTAATATAATTTACAATACAGTTTTTATGCAGCTAAACGGGCTTATTCAAGTTCCAGTGTAAAATGTATGTGTATGGATTGTCTGAAATTCGGTATAGTATTCACAGTTATAGTTTTACCGATGGAATGAACATGATTGTTTTACACTGGAATAAGCTATTTGTATTGAAAAACTCATTCAAATTGCCCTGAAGGAACAAAAAAAACCTGAGCCAGATATCAATCAAATCTGCTTGATATGCATTTAGAAGTTGCACTTTCTGAAAAAAAAAAACCCCCAAAACATTCTCCTTTTAGTGACTGTATTAGAAATTGCACTTTGAGCATCTCCCTTTGTAACATCCAACTAGAAGTAGTATCAATTATCAGCTAACCCTGTGAAGACCGGTTTTCTGTACTTTGAGCCACATTAGGCCACAATTCTGGGAAAAAAAGCATGGTTTAAAAAAAAAAAGCTGTCTTCCAACATAAGATGCATATTTAAAAAGCTCTTTTAACAGCCATATCATATAACTGATGACCGGTTGTTTGCATGTTTGAAGAGGTTGAAGTTGAGAGGTCAGGCTGTTAGCCGGCCAGCTTTCTTTACACTAGAGCATGTGAAAGTGTCCTTTAGCCACACCTTGAACCCCAAGCTGCAGTCAGTGAGAATGTGAAGGCCTGCATGGCAGCGTATCCGCCACCATCGTATGAATTGACTTGTTTGTGTTGTGCGTGAGAATAATGAATCAATGCCGTCCATTCAGCACAATTACTGCAATGCCTTTCCATTGATCGTGATTATGAGTCATGAATGTTTGCATGAATTTCCATTTCAGCAGGTGTTCAAAACTCTTTCTCAGAACTGGATGTGGGCAAATCTTCTGTTTCCTTGGATTCTGTCTCAAATATTACAAGGATATACAAGCCTAACTGTCTTTTTCAGTGGAACACACTCCTGTAGTTTACTTCTCGAATATGTTTTATTTAGTTTTCTTCTAATTTATTCTTTAAGTGACAAATTAATTAACTATAGTTGGCATATCTGAGAATTTTGACTTGGAAAAGTTGTCTCTTGCCTACTATCCCCAACAAAATGTCCATTAGAGTCCATTTTTTCAAATGTATTTGTATTTGGGGTCTATTTTTGCCACTGTATGATTGGTTTAATGAACATGTGAAGATTAAGGAAATATGGCAACCCACTGGAAAAGCCCCTCATATGTGGGTCTAAATGGATCTGTCCAATAATTTCTCTGCTCCTGATCTCTGAGTTTGGCTGATTTTCATTCCATTGGGAAGATAGCTCTCAGTGGGTTTAACACTCGACTTTGCTATTTAAATTAAACATCAGAAGGGGAATGATTAAAAGCAAATGTGTGTGAAATTTTGAAAACAAACGTGCTGTGGAAGTGATCAGAGTCAGGCTAAATGCTCATACTTGTATTGGTTCATCTCATTCCAGCACTGTCTGGAATTTTCCAAATGAGTGTTCCCTGCTCCTGAGGTTCCTCCTGCAGAAAGCTTCCCACATAAACCTTTGGATGTGGTTCTTTAGTGTATCAGAGGTTCTAGGAGGGGGAGATGAAATGTTAAGTATAACTTACAGAGAACAGTGTCAAACCCACTAAGCAGCAGGTTTCATCCTTGCTGAAGTGTCTGCTGGTTCTACTGCATCTAAACTTTACCCTCACTGCCTCTCTTTATGTCCAGAGTGTAGAAGTCGGAAATGTAATCTAGCATGTCAAATGAATTGCTGCCACCCAGTGGATGGTTTTAAAAACGGAGAGCATGTTTTTATCGGGCTCACAGACGAAAAGATCGGAATAGAGGTTCATATCTATGTTTTATTTTATTTGTTCTTTTTTCTTTGCATAGTTATGTTTTATTTAACTGCACTGCAATAGAGGAAACTACTTTTTTTGTTCCTGAAAATATACTAGGTCTGGGTTCATGTTTTTATCTAATTCCAATCTTGATGAAACAGATCTTGACATGCAAATCGAATTGTATTGACTGGAACGAGTGCTTGAAGGAATATTGGGTGTGTAAGACTATGGTGTCATCCAGAGAAGCAGATTCTGAATGTGTATTTGCATGTGTAATGTGTGAAAACTGAACTGACTCTGGTATTTCTATATTTGATTGTGCATGTCCCAAAAGCTCTGCGCCTAACTCAGATTTTAACCTGCTAATTTTTAGCCCTGGCATACTGCAATGGTTACTTTTTGTTTTGAAATAAAAATGTAACAAACAGGTTTTGAATGAAATGACCGTACTGTATATCACTGTTGTTGAGTTTATGGATGATTGGTCAATCTCTGCAATTAAATGTCTTTATTTGATCATAAAAGGTGCAGCGTGGGAGTGAGAGTGCGTGTTTGTGTATGTGTTTGGATGCCTTTTATTTAAGCTGGCTGTTGAGATGTTAACATTAAACCTCAGATATTAAAAAGATATCCCATATATTTTGCGTTGTTGCTTCTTTTTTTACACACACTTGTTGAGTTTTATATACATTAAGCAACGTCTTTATGTCTTCTTTTGGGTTATGAGGAAAACATGTATCCATATACTGTACATATGTGTAAGGTTTCACAAAACTATAATAATCTCACATCTCCATCTAGATAACAAGACAATTGCATGCATTTATTCATTTATAAAACCAACTGGACATAAACACTTATTTATGCCGCAATTTGTAGCTGACAGTTTGGAATGAGAGATCCATTACCTGGCTCTAATACTTGAAGTAAGCGCTCTCTGGTCAGACCGCAAAATGAAACTACTTGCAGGTAATCGTTAGATTAATCATAACTGTGCTGAATAAGCAGTCATATGTTAAGTAAAGTTGTCTTATTTGTTATTCTTAAACTGAGAAGAACTTTTTGGTTTCCTGGCAACTAAACAATACAATGTTCAAGAAAATCGGAGAAAAATACATTTTAAATTTGTTTGGATGGACATAATATCTTTCAGTCTAAGGAGGAAACTGACTGTCTAGCTCTCCATTAAACTGCAGCCAGTCTGGATGAGCTTTACTATATATGCAAAATAATATATACAAAAACATTTTATCGCAACATGAACATCTATCAGACAATGTATTTTTGTATTTAAAAAAAATATAAAAATATAAAAATAATATCCACAATATCCACTGCAATACATACATTCAACCACACGATGGCTCTTGTTCACTACCTAAAACAAACCAGCTTCACTACTCCAACCTGAGGGCACACGCTCACACTGAGTCATCAGTCGGCACTTAACTATAAGTCTGTTCTGCAGGCTATTCATCTGACCGGGCTTTCCCAATAACATAATAAAAATTCTGTCAAAACATAACTTTATCCTCCGCACAGTTAGATTTTACGAGAAACAACATCCCTCTATTTTCAGTCAGCCTAAAACATATCATCATCTGTGTTATGACCATTATATGAACTAACGACAGACAGAAAGCCTGTTTTGTTTATTGGCAATAGGAGATATCTATTTGCATAAAAACACAAAAAAAAAAAATTCCATCTCCTGCCTTTCTTGCTACCACACCTTGCTCATGGTTGAGAGTATCTGGGTCATTGAATACCCAATTGACAACGAGGCCTCCTCAGCCTCAGGCCTCTCCCCCAACATAATGTCTACTTACCTGCATGCGGGTGTGTCCACTTCTCACATTCTGCTTCATGAATGGCCCAAAGCTGCAATGACCCTGCCTCACTTGACAGCTTCAGCACATGGCTTCATCAGGCTCCCTCCAATCAGTCACTCGCACACCAAATATGGAAACATGCAACCTGTAATCAGTGCTAAGCAGATGACAAACTCTTCTTCCCCGAGGCAGAGTGTAGGGCCTGTTTTGTAAGTGTGTAGTGCTGCCCAGGTGTGTACACCTGACTATGTCTTCAACTTAAGTTACGCCTGGCTTTTCTTGTGTGACTTCATTGTTCGGTTTAGGTTTTAAGAGTCGTCGATGGTTGATGATGTGGATTCTCCCCAACAACTACTGGCTACACCTATTGGGTTAACTGACTGCTCATTTTCCCATACGTAACACTAATAGTGGTAACAGGGTATTAACTGTTCCCTTCCATGAATAAGTTCGGGTTATGTGGGTTAGGAGGCTTTTGACACAGAAAAGCCATCTGGGTAAAGAGGATTGCATAAAAAGGAAATTTACAATGTAAAAAAAAAAAATCGCCCACACAGTTCACCCTGAAAATAATCAGCAGGTGACTGAACACATTAGGTGCTTTGGGACAAAACTTGAATCCACAGAGGTTGTTGACGGATCAAAATGGTTGCACAAGACTAAACGAACGCTCTGCCTTATTGTTTGTCCTTGTCTTTGTGGTTTCTTTCTGGAGCAAACAAAAAAGTCTACAAATGGATAACACGTTACAGTCATTTCTGTGGTGGACCTTAAGAGGAGTGGATACATTTTCCAATAGTCATTGACACTAAAAAGCTGTGCATGCCTTTGTTGATAATATAGTCATTTGTGGACATTTAAAATGAGCACATTTACATAAAAAAGTATGATGATCTGCTTCTGTTAATGTTGGTTTGAAACATATAAGGTGCAAAATATGTATAAGTGAATAAAAAAATCAAAACGTTCAAACGCACGTTATGCTAGATTGATAGTGGAAAATTGTGTCATTTGTTTAATTACACTATTATATTCAATGAATCATTTGCAAAAGACTTTTTGTGGGTCTGCTTGACGGTTGAACGTCAGGTTGGCATCAGAGAGCGGCGCAGCGAATTACAGCATCATGCTCCATTTACTGAGTGTCAGTGAGGGTGTGGTGTAGAGCCGGAGGTGACAAAACGAATCGTTCCATCAAATCAGGGAATGGCCTCAACATTAGTATTCCCACCGAATCAGGAGCAGGCAAAGAAAGAGCTCTCCGGTGAAAGGAAACTTGTTTGACGTGTGAATGAGCGAATGTGTCAGGCCTTTGCCGAAGCACTTTCATGCCTTCACAGCTTTGGACAGAGTCTGCGTCTTTTGCTCAGATCTGCTGGAAAAAACTTTTTCCTCCCGAGAAGGCCGCTTGGCAGCCAGGCCCTCCTCCAGCCAATGGTGGACCAGCTAAGGAAAGGGAATTGGCTTGTTAATCACTAACTCCTCTTCGAGTTGACCTCACAATACTGTACGTCTTAATTAAATTGATGTATTATTGTGAACTTACATGCACAAAAAAACATGGTTTTGCATCATGTTTGGCGTTTGACACCCAAGTTTGGACACCGACCATGGTGGTTATGTTGACAACTAAATATATCATGCATGTGAAAACGTTTTACTTCAACAAGTCAATGGTCTAAAGCACACAATCAGAAAAACACATGGGGCGTTTAGTAAAACTGTGTTAAAGTCATGCAGTGGTTAAGCCATTGCTGGAGCAGAACCTCGTCCAGGCATCCTCGGAGAGACATAAAAATGACTGTGCACTGACTTTCTCAGCTGGGTTGATTTAGAAGAGTCTGCCAAAAGGAAAGGTGTGCCAAGCTTTAAAGATCATTCGGAGAAAAGTCCAATCGGCCAAAGGCTCCTAAATTGAGGAGCCTACGGGGGTCTCCACAGATCCCTCCACGGGCCCAACGGCTGCGTCCCATATAGCCGAAGGCCCCTGACTCATTGTTAGGGTTTACCGGAGCACCAAAAAGGAACGTCAATGCCATTGTTACGCCTCTGCTTCTCATGGTCAGGAGTTCAAAGTCAGCTGTGAAAAGGGTCCATATTAATGGAAGTTAATGGAAGCTTCTGCGACTTCTAACACTCCCACAACAAATAATTAGAACTTTAAAAGACGTTTTAGTCCCGCGACCTCGTCGTTATTTTGGCTTTGCCATTCTGGAGTATATGTATTACATTTTTTGAGTATGCTAAGGGATAAAAATCGTTTTCATGCTCGCTTAAACTGTAAAAATCTGTTTTATGGCAGGAAAATGACGAGGATATGTCAGCCACGATGCTCAACGCATTTCAAAGGCGTCGTTAGCGGCGGAGCTTGGCCAGGTTAGCACGAGCGCCTAGCCTAGCATTGCCACTTGTTGCTTTGACCACGTAGAAGCTTCCAGAAACGTTTGGCTTTCGCAAACTCGCAGCTGTAAATCAACACTGCGGAGGAAAGCATCCAGCTTCAGATTCTACAATGTGCACAGAGTCTTACATTAGCCACAGCTGGAGGAAGTCCTTGGTGCACACGTGAAAAATGGGCCAGTATGTTTAACTGTTATTCAGACTCCCTGCCTTTCTTCTGTAATGATGAATATGGTTCAAACAATCTTCTTTTTTTTTATAGCTTAATTGCAACGCAGCAGTGCTGATGGGTGGATTATGAGCAAGCTTGGAAATCAGCCCTTCTTCTCCCAGGTGCTTTCCCCAAGGACACTTTTAAAAACAGATACTCATGAGCCATAACCTGTCTTAAGACATGAGATACTATAAGTCATGGAGATTAGCATAGATATATGAGATGACAGATCCTGAATGACAACCCTCTGTATTTGGCTTAGCTCTCAGTCTCATTTCTCTGCATGCCAGTTAGTAAAATTACTCTTCATATCTGGCAAAGCTCCTATGCAAAGACACAACAGGCAGCCGGTTAGTGCATATTTGATGTTGACAGTTTGAACCTGTGGCCATCTGTAGCGCTCTAGAAACCTGCCGTTTTCTCAACGGTCACGGCTTATCTCCTAGCAGGCTTTGCATAACAAGAAGGAACACTGCTTTCCCACGCCGCTTAACGTGTATTTTATTTCAGGGGCGATTAATTGAATGGGAAATGGGTTCAGGAGCTGTAAATAAAGTTTGTCTGTACTGAAGTATAAATCTTAAGGGTTAAGAGGTGAGACCAAGTTTTACACATGAGGTTTTATTAGAGAATGACAGATCGTATGACAGATTAATAAGACAGACTTGGATTCGAGGGAGTTAGGAGGGATATACAAAGAAAACAACCACGAGCCCTCTAGTGATCTGCCCTCTTGCTGCACACAACCTGGTTTTCGCAATACGTCAGTTTAGAGCACTGCTGAAAACTGGTTTTATAATCAGGCAGCATTCAAGTGCCATTTAGGCCTGAGGTTAAAGAACCTGCCAAAAGGAAGAAAATGTGCCAATTTTGTGCTAGCTATTTTCCCTATTAAAAGTAGCTGTTTGCACTATAAGTGCTCAGTTTATAACTTTCTGTATTTCCATGTGTTAGATGACAGGTAATCGTTTATACCTGTATTACCCCCAGTCTTTGATCATTCAGGGAGAAGAAACCAATCATTTTCAGGTGCTATTGCTGTACATTAGTGGTGTCCTGATTTGAAAAATGTACTGATATTGTTAGTTTTCATTCAAAGTTATCACAGTTCTTCTCAATGATAACCATTTGAAACAAAATGTGTTGTCAATAATTAAACAAGTGGTTTTCAGCCTTTTATGCTTATAAG